GCAAGGGCCTAGTTGAAGAAACTAAGGTCAGACAGAGAGGCAGTTGCAAGACGAGTCTACAGCCCAGGGCCCTGCATTACTCATTACTCACGCTGAGGGTTAACGCGGCCCCTGTGCCGTGAGGAGCGCGGGAGACTTGGGCAAATGCTGAGTGGCACTGTGATTAGTGGAGATGGCCACTAGGTGTCACTGTCTCACCACCACCTGCAGCTGCTCTGTGGCTTGATTGTCCCTCCCCAAGGCAATGTTAGTGCTAATGGCCAACTTGGGCTGAGTGAAGGGGCTCTGGAATTTCCCTTGTCACCAACATTTTACAAGAAGTGGCAACTCCCAGCCTGCGTGGAGGAGGAAATCGCTGTCTGATTTACTGCCCCAGAGAGTGGGTCCCGGGAAGAGCTGCTGTTGCTGCGGTGCTAGCGGTGCCTTTCCGGGCTCATTGCTGCTCCGTAATGATGACTGTGGATTAGCATCCTTAGGAACTCCCTCTCCAAGTTTGTGAGATGGAAGGGACCTGGAGATCTTCGAGTTCGGCTCTTTCATTTTAGAGAAAGAGAAGGCCATTCCCCAAGGCGCACACGGCAGGGTGAGGCAGAACCGGGACTCGCGTGCGAGGCTCCAAAGTCCTGGCCCGAGCTCCACGCACACCGGAGCGCTCCCCACCTCTGCACGCCCCACGTCCGTCACTCACCCTCTAACACCGGTTGAGCACTGGCTATACGCTGTTTTCCTTTCTTCGCGGCTGGACACAATTGGAAACACTTAAAAACGTAAGATGGCAGGGCCCATCAATGACCAAGTCGGGGTGGCACAGCTGGGGGTCGGTTTCTTTCCCTTTGGTCCAGGGTATTTGCCAGCGTCATCCACTCTTTGTGCAAAACAGCAGAAATTCTACCAGAACTCGGGCAGAAATGGAGTCACACAGGCGACGGGGCAAGTCCCAGAGGTGGCAGCTCAGATGGTGCCTGCTCCGCGAGGCTGGCTGCAGGTTCCTGTCTCTGCGCTCGCCCTGGATACCGGATGGGAAAGAATCATAAAGATTTCTTCATGAAGCAGGTGGATGCTCTGAAGCTGCAACAACTGCGACCACCAGAGGGCGGTGTTTTATCACATCCTGCCTGGTCAAAGGGGCTGTATTCCTGGCAGTAAAGAAAGTAAATCTTTTAAGGAACGGGAGTGTTTAAGATAACAGTCTAAGTGTGGGAAAAGAAAAAGATCTATCAGTCTGGACTTGAAATTGATCTCTTGAAGGCAGTCATTTCATCGCCTCGCCCGTCTCTTTCTCTCACTCCAGCAGCTATAGAGTTGACACAGCTGTAAACTTGGAGAATTATGTCTTTATGTCCCAGCTCCTTTCACAGGGCCCTTCTCTCCTGGCCCAGAGTTGTTCATAACCTTAGAACCTCTCTTGAGGCACTTGGTGGCCTCAGAAAGAACCACAGAATCTGGTTAGAGATATCCCAGCCTGCGCAGCCTCGAGCCAGTCCACCTCCCTGTAAGGTAGGGCCCCGGCCCCTCCTGCATCTGTCTTCCCAGACACAGCCATCACCTGGTCTGCAGCAGCCCGTGCTGCTGCTGCTGCGCTCATTATTGACCATTCTGCTGGGATATTAAGCACTTTTGGCTCGACCGGGGGATGGTTAATCAACCACCTTGTCAGAGTGATGGATTCTTCTAGGAATATTGCTTAATTAGCTTGTTTAGAGGTAAGAGCCAACGAGGACATCAGTTCTCTGGGAGCTGGGAGGAAGCGGGGAGGGAGGCAGGAGCACCTGTGAAGAGATCATGAAGCTGTCTCAGGCTGCGTGGTGGCTGGGGGTGGGACAGGCGGGAGACCTCTGACCCTAGACAAGCCCAGAGCTTCAATTCGTTAGGCCTTCCGTCCATCATGGCCCAGGGTGCTGCAGCCCAGAGCATCGCCATGGCTCAGTGAAGTTACAAAAGCAGTGTGATTCCTGAAATGTCACCCAAGGGCCACAGGCACTGCGTGAAGAACTTTAAAAATGCAGACACTCCGGCTGCAGACTTTCTGGTTCAGAATCTCTGCAGCTTGTTTACAATGCCGATCGAGGCAGATTTTCAGGCACAGTGAAGTCTAAGGATCACAGCCATGGCGCCGGTCAGTGTTGTGCAAGTGGACACTTCCATGGGTGGTGGGTTTCAGGTGACCGGCTCTGCAGCCGGCACTGCCATCGGCATTCTCAAACACCAGTCTTCTCCCTCCTGCTTTAACCTGCCGCTTCCTGTCTTGTCCCCTGATTTCTGTCTCTCCCACCTGATTCTGTCTGCCTTGCTCCCTGCCTTGTCAGCCTGCCCCTGTCTGAATCTTCCTTCTGCCCACAGCTCTTCATCTTGATCCGCTTGTCTTCCCTCCTCTCCATTTTTCTCTTTTCTCTGTGCCGACTTTTGTCTGTTGTCACCGGATACACCCTTCTACATTCTCTCCTGTCTATCAGGGGCTGGTAGCCTGAGAACTACCACGCCAGAGGAGTTTTAGATACATTTTAAGTCCCACCAGAGGTGCACATATGTGGCATTTGCAAAGCCGGAGAGAGGCAGTGCTGTACACTGCGCCCCCAGCAGGTGGGCAGACACGGCAGCTTCTGCAGCGGAGAGGTCTGCCCCTGCAACTGCTGCCTTAGGGCTGCCGGCAGTTTGACCGTCCGTGGTAGTTCCCTGCAGTGTTTGGCTGGGGTGGCAGAGGCAGCAGCTCCTTGGGGCTAAAAGCTAGTGGTGAACCTGGGAGTCAATGGTAACTTCTCTGGCCTTTGTTCCTCCAGCCAATCCAATAGCTCTGTAAGCACCTCAACCCCCTGGGTAAATGCCTGTCTGGGAAAATCTTGCGTGGTTTCATCTTTCTGCCTGACACGCTCTGCCCTTCCCTTTCACTTTCCCTCTTCTTCTATTCCACCCTCTCTCCCTCTTCCTATGCCCAGCCCCGAATCCATCCATCCACCCATCAGCCCCCCATCGTCCATCCACCATCATCCATCCATCAATGTTTAGTTCTGATGAAGTTCTATTATCTCCATTCATAATTTAAAACATAGGTGCGTTGAACATTTTATGTTGACCCCCCCCCCCCACCATTAAACTGAGTTGCTTCTGTAGATTCTGTCCTAGAAGGTCAGGGCCCTTGATGGAGCAGAGGGTACTGGGGGGACAGTCGGGGAAGGGAGCACACAGGCACGGCATGCCCTCCACGGACTGAGGGAAACCCCACCTCTGTGCCCCTGGGCCTGGAGGCGCCAAGAACCAGGTCAGGCAGAGGGCCCACTTCTGTTCCAGGGAGAAGCAAAACAGGTTGCTCCTAAACCACGGTGTGCACACCGAGCTGCTTCCTGGGGCTCAGCATCCTGGACACGTGCGTGTGTGCGTGCACACTTTTGGATGTTCGCCTCATCCAGGGAAACCTCAGCTCTGGGGAAGCAGACTGCTCCCACCCCAGGCCAGCCCAACATCCAGTCGCTGCAGAGGCCATAGTCACCAAGTCAAGGGGCTTGGGTTTCAGTCCAGCACCCGCCACTCCTAATGGGGTAGCCACCTCTGCTCTGGGCCTCAAGGATCTCGTCTGTAAAATGGTGAGGAGGGCGCTCCTTGAGGGCCTCCGCTCCTTGCCACCCTATCTGGCACCCACTGTACTGCTGGCCCTTATTTCCAGAGATGGTGCAACCTGATTCAGGTTGCAGGAGCCACAGGTAAGAGGCTGGAAAGGCTGGGATGGGGGGGTCTGAGCTGCCGGCCCTGCTTGGAAGGCCTCTCTGGGCCTTGGCTGAAGGGTGTGGGGATCCCTAAGAAGGTACAGCCCAGGACGAGCCAGACGGTCTGCCCTCTGCAGGGGCTGAGGATCCGGGCTCCTCTCCTAGGGGGACAGACACGAGGACCACCCCAGCCCAGGCCCCTCTGCCCGTGCCACACAGAGCCTCTCTGCGTCCTCTGGCCCCAGTGCAGCTGTGAGGCAGCTTTTCGAACCATTGGGCAACCACTGCATTTGTATCCTGTTGGTTTAAGGGGGAAATCAAGCGCTGGTCCCTGAGCTCAGCCCTGTGAGGTAGGACACTACTCTGTGGACACCCACCCAGCCGGTGCGGAGGGGGCACGGCCACCCCTGGGCTACTCACTGCTGACCTGGGTCTGTAACATTCCACCCTTGTTGTCCCTGGGGCTCAAGCAGGCCCCGAAGGAACCTGAGGTGACATGCAGCTGGGGCAACAAAGTGTGCAGGTGTGTGGGACTTCCTACCTGAACATTCAGCTGAGGGTCATCTCCAAGTCCTGCCAAAACGGCTCACTTATTCTTCTGGGTTCCCCTCTCACAGCCAAGACGACATCAACCCATTAGCATCAGCGCTTTGCGTGTGGAGACTCTTGTGTAACAGGGCGTCTGACAGCTCAGCTCTGTCGCCTCTCGAGTCTGTGCTGATGGCCGTGGCCCCTCTCCCGGCAGACCCAGCACGGGGCCAGCAGCAAACAGACCTGGCTTTGCTGTGTGTCTCAGACTGCTACACTAGGGAAGTGACTGTGACACCTGGCGACAGTCCCTGTGGCATGCGGGTCTGTGAGCTGTGGGTTTGTCCCTGGTGCGAGAACGCGTCCGTTCCCTTCTGAATGCTGACCTGGCCCCTGAGTGTGGGGTCTGCACAAGGGCGCCCCTACCTTCCTGTTCTGTCTGCCTTCTGATGGTGTCTGGTCAGAAAGGTCATACTCCGGAAGGCCCCCAGCGTCCTGCCCTCTGGACACAGAGAATCTCGAGGACTCTTCCCCGGGAGCTGCTTCCGGGAAAGAGTTCTGTAACCACGGGCTCTCCTTGGTAGGGGCTGGCGTGGTCGCTGGCCAGAAGCTCTTCTGTGCTGTGGGGGCTGTGATCTTTCGGAGGGACAGACACGACGACGGTTTGATGGATGAAGGGGGAGGGAGGCGCCTGCCCTGCTGGCGGGATTTCTCCTCCCCCAAATGCATTTTTCATCCAGAACTAAGAGTCTACGTGTCATGAAGTCCAAGACCTTTACAGGAACCATGTTTTATTTTGTCGTCTGGCTGGGGAACAGCCGGGAATCAGACACAGGAGAGTGCGGTTACCCCGCACACACACCAGTGGGCCGGCTGTTCCTGGGTCACCCCAGCACCGTGTGTGGGGGGGCGGGCGGGCTCACTCTGGCTGTTCCAAGGCCTGGTGGGAGGGGCTCCTCTTTCCCACAGGAGAACAAACATCTTCTGCTTCATTCTCCAGGAGACTCCAGGCTGGTGTCCCAGGGCTCTCAGGGGACCTGCTCTGTGACCTCAGCATTACTGGAGCCTGACCCAGTTGAGGACCCCGCCCAGGCTCCTGGAAGGCGGCTGTGACTACATTCCCAGCAGGACACATGTCACTGGCATCACAATCATGGGGGAGCACAGCCCGCTGGGATGAGAACAGGTCGTTGACCAACCACTGGGAGCTTGTCCTAGAGAAAGACACAGATGCTCAGGCACGGAAGGCCCAGGGAGAGTGCAGAAGCTTCTCCTTCCTTTGAGTGACCACGGAGGCCCAGCCCCCTTCCCGTGAATACCGTCCAGGCCCCAGACTGCAGACGGAGCACAGGTATTAGGTCCAAGCCTGGACCAGTCCCGCCATGCTCGAGGCTCCCCAGTGGATGTCTCCACCGTCTCATTCTTCATAATTCCTTGGGGGGCACCCTGCCCACCTACTCTGCCCTGTCTGGGTGCAGACCGCAGCCTACTGAGCACCCGAGCACCCACAGCGAAGTGCTGCAAGAGTTGGGGGGCGGGCGTTGCTCTGACCCCCGCCCCCCCCGGGGAAGGTTGGGAGGACGGAGCGCAGAGGCAGCAGCTCTGCCCTCTGTTCCCGCCGAACTCTGATCTGCCGGCCGTGGGCCCTGCGGGACAGCGGCCTGTGTCACGTGTGCATTTCTTGGATGAAAATGACATTCTTAGAGAAACTTTTTTTTTACAATCATAACCAGTCCACTTTCCTGCCCACGTGGTAAAGCAGCCTCGACTCTCCTCTTCCTCCTCTGCTCTTGAGATTTGCTAGTTCGCTGAGTTTTTGTAAAAACCCAGCCCGAGTACATACTTTAAAATTCAACTAGCATTACAAGGCGTGAAGGAAGAAACGCAGTCCCCCGCTCCATTCCTGTCCTACATTCCTCTCCGCAAACTTGCCCTGCGGACGCCGACCCCCACATTTCCAAACACTGCGCATGCGCGGCTGGCCCGTGGCTGGTGAGTGTGAGACGCCTGTGGGCTTGTGGTGGCAGGTCGGGCTGGGATGCTGCTAACTCCCCTCCGTGTTCTTTGCTCTCTGTATTGTCTTACAGATTTATGCCACATTTTTTGTTCAATCAATATTCAATTTTTATTTTATTACAATTATGTTCACTGCTGAGTGGAGAAAAACTCTAGGATCATACTTCCTTTCTTCTGTCATTCTTTGTTCTTCCAGGGATTAATCACGACCTCAGTGAAAAAATCTGCTTAGTTTATGTCCTCACCCCAATACTTCTTCCCAACTCCCCGGCAGAATTTCAAAACCCTTGCGAACACCATTTTCCCCGTGACTAAGCGGCCAGGTAAAGCTGCTGGTCCCTCTCCCCCAGGTCACGTGTCCTTCCCCCGGGGCCGCCTGCGCTCTCGGTCCGCGCACAGCCCTGGCCCTCGCACGGCTCCATCTCCTGCCTGGATCCCAGCTTGCCCCTCCGTGGTTTGTGTCCACGCCAGTTCCCTAGTTGGATACATTCCTCTTTAAGCGCCAACTCTGGAAGGCGGGGCACCCTGGGTTTGAATGGGGCCTGGATGTCCACAGGTGTTTGTTTGTCTAAGGAGGTAGGAGTTTACCTATCACCTGAGGCAAATACAGACTCCCAACTCTCAAGAAGAATTTCTCTGTTCTTAAGGACGGAGATGTGAGTTTATTAGGATGGACGCAGGGACTGTGGTTGGCTTGTTGGTTCACCAGAAGGATCAGGGTGACGGCCACCCGCCTTTCACCCTCATGCAGCGTAGGAGAAGCCGGCCCACTGCCCCAGACACTGTACTTCTGTGTAGTGGGGAATTGTTATCCATGCCAACTTTGTTAGAATAAGACGCTTTACCACCATACTGACAGCGGAGCCACATGAGCCATATTAGCCAGCCAGACTCTCAGCAGGCTGAGACTTGCACACAGTGCGTTAAACCCCTAGACTGAAATCAGTTAAAATCAACTTGGTCTGAAACATCCCAGGACCATATATCAAAGCACTGAGTATTTTCATTTTTTAACGTATGAACTCGATATCCTTTAAGATTTTTAACATGCACATCGCCCACAATGTGGCAATGGTGGTGCACGGTTTGTTAAAAAGAAGCAGATAAGACTGTCTGGCTGCACATTTCTTTCCCCCAATTTACTGCGGCAGAGGCAAGCAGGCGGCTGGAGGTGAGAGAAGGGGAAGTGTGCTTACAGAGGCGGGACACCATGCACGGCTTGCCTGGGGAGGCCGAGAGCAGAGAGCAGCTCGCTCTAGTCTGTAGGGAGTGACCTGGAGGGAAAGCAGGCTGGCGAGGGGCTTCAGCCGTGCCGGTCTCTGGGCAGAAGCTTGCATAGCTCATCTGACAAGGCCTCCACATGTCCCAGCGGCTGCTTCACTGCACAGGGGACCACATGAGCGAGGAGAGGGAGTTCTCCTCTGGACCGCATGCCGGCCAGCAGTGAAAGGTCTCTCTGCTAACCTGGGTGTGATGAAAATCCTGCAACTGTGACCTTGTAGCAGCAAAGTGAGGGAATAGTGGATGGAGGTAAAACGTGCCCCGGACTTAGGAAAGCAGGTTTCAAAGGGGCGAGGAGATCCATGGATCAGATAATAGCCTTTATAAAACAATATTGATAGCGGTGCGTTTGAAATTATAACAAGATAATGTTATACTGTTATAAAGTTATAATGTTAACTGTCTGCTCTCCAGTAATCCCAATGGGGAAGAAAAGAGAGAAATAGCTGAAATATCAGGAAGATTTATGGGCTTAAGACAATATTTACAAAAGTTGGGATGAGAACAAAACGAAGACGCAACTCTGAAGGGACAATTTCGTTCAGTCATTTGGGAAATCATTACTGAATGGTTTCCCTGTGCCAGGCACTTTGCTACATGCTAACGAGATAGCGACAAGTAAGACCTACCTGGGCTTACAGTGCGGCAGGGAATATAGGCACCAGCAAGTAATCAAAAGTGTGTCGGCTCAGCAAACTATAAACCGAAGGGGACTTTCTTAACTGGACTAATGGTATCTGCAAAAACCCCAAAGCTAACATTATACTTCCTGGTGAAAGACTTGGGTATCTCCTCCCAAGATGAGGAACAAAAGAATGTCTACCTTTTCCACCTCTGTTCAGCGTCATACTAGAAGTTCTAGTCAAGACATTAGACAAAATAACTAAATAAATAAAAGCCATCCAGATTGGGATGAAAGAAATAAAACTCTCCATTTGCAGATGGCATAATTTTGTATATACAAAATCCTAAGGAATCCCCTGAATATTATTAGAACTAAAAAATAAGTTCAGCAAGGTGGCTGAATAAAAGAACAATTTACGTCAATCAATTTTATTTATAATAGCATCCTAAAGAACACAATACTTAGGAATAGATTTAACAACAACCAAAAAAGCACGGGACTTCTAAACCATAAACAACAAAATATTTTTGAAAGAAATTAAAGGGGATCTAAAAAAAAACAACCCAGAAAGACATCTCATGTCCATGGATCAGAAAACCACACATTACCTGTTGCAAAGACAGCGATACTCCCGATCTTCAGATTTATACAACTGCTATCAAAATCCCAGCTGCCTTTTTTTAATGCAGAATTTATCAAGCTGATCCTAAAATGTATATGTAAATTCAAGAAATTCAGAACCATCCAAACAATCTTGAAAAAAGAAGACCAAGTCAGAGACTCACACTTCCTGATTTCAAAACATTCTACAAAACTATAGTAACAAGCACATTATCAGCATAAGGGTAGGAATAGAATCTAAGATTTAGAAAAAAATCTCTACATTATGATACATTGATCTTTGGAAAGGGTGCCAAGAAAAAATGGGGCAAAGAATAGTCTTTTCAACAAAGTGGACATGTGGACATGCACATGCAAAAGAATAAAGTTAGATCCCTGCATCACATCATATACAAAAATTATGTCAAAATGGGTCGAAGTCTAAATGCAAGACTTAAACTATAAAGACTTCAGCAAAAAATAGAAGTAAATATCCACGATCTTGGGTTAGGCAATGATTTCTTATACAAAACACCTGAAGTATAAGTGACGAAAAAACCCCACACAAATAATTTGGACTTCATCAAAACTAAAAACTCATGTTCTATAAAAAAATATCATCAAGAAAATTAGAAGACAACCTGGAAAATGGGAGAAAATGTTTGCAATCACATACATGACTAAGGGACTCGTACTAGAATACAGGATGGGCAAAAGTGGTTTTACAGTTGTAATACAAATAAATAATAGGATAATAAGTGATGACACAAGAATAAACTCAGTGTTTCATGTACTCACAACTGCAAACCTACTTTTGCCCACCCTGTATGTATGCCTTATAACCCGGTAACAAAATGACCACCCAATTTAAAAACGGACAAGTGATTTTAATAGATACTTCTTTAAAGAAGTAATACTAATGGCCAATAAACACCAAAAAGATACTTAACATCACAAGCCGCCAGGGAGCTTCAGACCACAACCACAGGAAGACATCACTTCACACCCTCTAGCATGGCTACAATAGAAACCACAGACAATAACAAGTGTTGGGGAGGACATGGAGAAATTGGAAATCCCATTCCCTGATGGTGGGAATGTAACATGGCGCAGCTGCTTTGGAAAACAGTTGGCAGTTCCTCAACACATTCCACACAGAGTGACCCAGAAATTCCACTCCTATACACCCAGACAAAATGGAAACAAGCATCTATGCAAAAACCTGTATACAGACATTCCCAGCAGGATTATCCACAACAGCCAAAAGAGTAGAAACAATCTAAATGTCTATCAGATTAGGAATGGATGAATAAAAGATGGTATATCGACAAAATACAAGATTATTTGGCACTAAAAAGAAGTGACGTCTTGATCCATGCTACCACATGGATAAACTGTGAAAACGTCATGCTAAGAGAAGTCACTCACAAAAGATCACGTATTATATGACTCCAATTATGTACAATGTCAAGATTAGGCAAATCTATAGACTGAGAAAGCAGCATAGAGGTTGACTAGGACTAGTGGGGTCAGGCAGGATTAGGAAGTGACTGCTGATGGGCATGGGGTTTCTTTTTGTGGTGATGAAAAGTATTCTACAATTACATAGTGCTGATGGTGGCATAGCTCCGTGACTGTATCGAAAAGCACTGAACTCTATACCTTAAATGGGTAGACTGAATGGTGTGTGAATTATATCTTGATAAAGCTCCAGAAAAAGAAAAGAGTTGGCAACAACAACAAAAACGTGTTTTGAATGTTATGATCGGGGAAGTGTGATATGTGAGCAAATAATATGGGAACCCAATAGGGATAAGACAGGGATAAGCTCAGGATTAGATAACTAACCCCAGGGCTGAGCAGACATTAAGGGCAAAGGACGTGAGGTTGGGAAAAGAATAAAACATTAAAGGAAATAAAGGTAATGCTGGAGGGGTGGGAGTGGAGCGCGGGAAGGAGGAGAGAGACAAGGTGTGGTTAGATAAATGGGCAGGGGCAAGACAACGCAGACCATGTTCATGACTTCATACTTTTCCTGAATACCAATAAGAAGACACTGAAGGATTTTAACCTGGGGAGTGCAATGACCATATCTGAATTTTCAAATGGGTGCTCAGACTTCGGGACATTGACTTGAGGGATATGGATGGACATAGAAAAATCAGACAGGGAGCCAGTGCAAAAGTCTGAGAAATCCAAATTGAAGTAATTCCAGGAGAGAGTGGGAGGTAAAGATGTGGACACAATTAGCTCTTGATGAAGCTTTGCTGTAAAGGGAGGAGAGCGATGGAGTTGTAGCTGGAAGGCAATATGAGATGGAGGAAATGGAAAAGGTAGGCATGTTTGTACGGGGGTTAGAAGGCTCCAGAAGAGAGAGAGAGAGAGGGGTTTAGTATTCAGAAGCGAGCGGAGAGAATTCATTCAATCAAGCCCTTGTGAAGGTGGAAGGCAATTAGATACAAGACCTCCGCAGAGGGATATGCCCTCTAGCATAACAGGAGGAAGCTGGGAGATGATTACAGATGAAAGTGGGATTGTGGATCTGGGGGCAGGAGTTACTCATCCTCCTGCCTCTAATTCTGCAAAGCAACCCATGAGCCAAGAGTCAGCGGCGATGCTTCAGTAATGTGATGGCAGAGGGCGGTGATGAATGAGGAAGTCAGGGGAGCACTCTGAGGATGATGACAGGCATTCCTGAAAGAGACTGAAACACACAAAACCATGCCACTTATAGTACACTTCCTTCTGAGATAAGCTTAAGGAACAGGAAGTGTGGAACAATTAGTAAAGAGGAAACTGAGACCCTTTATAGGAGGAAGGGTAATGGCAGTCCAGCTATTTCAAAAGTTGGAGCTTTAGGTCCAATATGCAAAATTAGCTTAAAGATACAATTGAAGAATCAATCCTGATACTAGAAATCATGCAGATTGACATAGCAATCAGGCAGATTGGGAATTGGAAAGCATCAAATGTTCTATTTTTAAAAAGGAATGAGAGGGGAATTCAAGGAAATATAGTTGAATCTAATTAACTTGAATCTCTGCAATGTTTGTTAACTTGTGTTCATTAGGAGGCACTGTGTGTTCATCAGGAAATATTTGTGCTAAAATATTATTTCTTTATGGAGACAGGGCCTGTGTCTTGATTTCCAGGTACATGATTGGGAGATTAAATAAATCCTGTTCATGGAAACAACAGGAGCCCAGAATGTGTTGATCACAGGACTGCTCCCTGGAGAACTGTCCACCCCAAAGGGACACTGGCATGTAGAGAATGGTCATCGATAGGTCCTAGATGAGAGCCACCAGGGATGACCGAAGAAGAGAAGCTTTGGGTTAGGCAGCAAAGCTGTTCTCAAGTGTTTAAAAGTGGCACGCCCAGTCTTTTTGTCTACAGTGATCCCGAGAGTAAATTGTTGCCTGTCGATAAAGAATACCTAACACCCGAAGATGTCCAACAATGGGGACACAAAATATTGAGGTCCCCAGTTCTGGAAGATTCTAGCAGACGCTGCAGGGACTTCTGCTACAGTGTGGGGGTGGTGTGGACTATGTATCTGTACGGTCTGTTCCCTGAAGGTAAATGGGAAGAAATGTTACCCGAGCACTAATTCTTCAGCACACTCATGCTAGAGGATCAGATTTTGATGCCTACAGATGTTGGCGATGTGTGCAAAGCTACACAGTGGGGCAATGGAGGATCTGGGGCTGGACCCAACTTCTGGTTCCCCAAGGTCTGATCATTTTGGCTGCTCCACACACTCACCCTTCCTGTGACTAGTGATGCCTTTCCACTTTGGAACTTCAATTAAAAGTTCCAGAATAAAACTGGACCCCTGTTTTATACCACACTCAAAAATCAACTCAAAGTAGATCAAAGACTTGAACAAAAGTGCCTACCATAAAACTCCTAGAAAAAAATAAGAATATGGGGTAATCTCCTTGACATTGGTCTTGACTATGAGGATTTCACCCCAAAAGCAAAAACAATCAAAGGAAAAATAAACAAGTGAGGATACATCAGACTAAAAAGCTTCTGCACAAGCAAAAGAAATTAAAAAAATGAAAAGGTAACCTAGTGAATGGGAAAAATACTTGCACATCATATGTCCTGATAAGGGCTTAATACCCCAAATATACAAAGAATTCATACAACCGAATAGAAAAAAAAATCTAATTTAAAAATGGGCATAAAATCTGAATAGGTTTTTTTTCCAAAAAAGATGTACAGAAGGCCAGTGGGTACATGAAAAGTTGCTCAACACCACTAATCATCAGGGAAATGCAAATCAAAACCACACTAATGCAATCACCTCACACCTGTTAGAATGGCCATCACCAAAAAGACAAGAGAGGAAGGCTGTGGAAGACGTGGTGAAGAGGGAACCGTGGTGCACAGTTGGTGGGAGCTGGTGCAGCCACTGTGGGAGGCAGTATGGAGATTCCTCAAAAAATTAAACAATGCAATGGAACTCCCATATGATTCAACAATTCTACTTCCGGGTATTTATCTGAAGGAAACAAAAACAATGACTTGAAAAGATGTCTGTGCCCCTGTGTTCACTGCAGTGTTATTCACAATAGCTGAGGCATGAAAACAACATAAGAGTCCATCCAATGTAAGGGTGGAGGATGAGTGGATAGAGGAAATGTGGTGTACGTGTATAATGGAATATTACCGAGCTATAAAAAAGAAGGCAATCCTGCCGTTTGTGACAACAGGGATAGACCTTGAGGGCATTATGCTATGAAAAATAAGTCAGACGGAGAAAGACAAATACCACATGATTGTGCTTATATGTGGAAGCTAACCCGCAACCCCAACAAAAGAAAACCGAACTCACAGATACAGAGGTGAGGGTTGCGGGGTGGGCAACATGGGTCAAAAGGTACAATCTTTAGTTCTAGGATAAGTAAGTCCTGGGGATGCACGGTGTGGTGACCGTAGTGAACGATACTTTATTGCACATTTGAAGGTTGCTAAGAGAGTAAGTCATAGAAGTTTTCATCACAAGAAAAAATTCGAACTCTGTGTGGTGGCAGATGTTAATGAAACTTATTGAGGTGATCATTTTGTCATATATACATATATCAAATCATTGTTACATATCTAAAACTAACACAATGTTAAATATCAATTAGATCTGAATAAAAAATAAATTAATTTTAAAAGAAGAATTCTAAATCCCTCACTCATGACTTTCAGGTCACTCTCTTTCAGGAATGCCCACTGCTCCCCATGGCTTGGATGAAATCTGCAGCACTGGCCTTAACACTCAGGGCCCCTCTAAGCCGCTGAGCCTTGGCTCACACGCAGAAGGGCTCTGGAACCTCATGGGAGGCTGCTCCCGGGGAGAGAATCTTTTGTGCAGGTGCAGGGAATCGTGCCCCCAGGAAGCAATGATGCTAAAGCAGCCATGTCCTACCTGGACTCCAGGGTCTGCTGCACTCCCTGCTTCAGCTGTACATGACCAGGTTCATCCACTACGAAATAAGCATTGTCATTACAACCAGTCTTCAAACACATTAGCTTCACACAGATCAGGGTGAATGGTACCCTCTTCCCCTGAAAGATCTCAGTCTGGTCTCATCAACCCTTTCTAGCTAATGCCAACCCAAACGGGAGGTCCAGCCCCCTGTCACAGTGTATCTTCTGCTGCTCCCTGAACAGCCAGGCAGTGAGAGAGCAGAGGTCAACCAGCTGGCTGGGCCAGGAGGCTCTTCTAAAACTCAATGGGAGTAAGTTTAATGTACAGTGAGCTCAGCAAGTGTTCTTCAGTTCCCTCCTGGATTTATGACTCCCACATAATCCTCTGCTTTATTAAGCTATCGGAAAAAAAATAAAATCTGTCTGCCAAGATCCTAAAGCAGCCTTGGCAGCCAGCAATATATAAAGGCAGTAATTGGAGGCAGGGAGGCTGGCAGCTTGGCTGGCCTATGACAGGCTGTTCGATACCGTCAGGGAGAAAAATGCCCCCTGGAACCAGAGACGCAGAGGAGGCCCAGGGCTGTACCCAGGCTCTGGGAGGGCAAGGCAGCTCACCTCCATTTTCGTCAGGTAGAGCCCTTGTCCGTCCTTGGAGAGGTGCTGGAAAGCCTCTGGGGTGAAGGAGGAGAGGAGTCAGGTCAGGCACATATACAAGCAGGTGCAGTGGTTCTATGCAAAGGCCTCCCTCTCCACAGGGTGTGCTCGGCCTTTCACTGGGGGGACCCCTCCGGGCTCACATCTTCCAAATAGCACCCTGACAGCTCCGGCCCACATGCCCTCTTCCCCTCTCAGTCTCCCTGCGCTGTGCATTTTCACACTTGGCTGTGGGGAGGCATGGGCTTGTCTTAGGAATTATTGCAGGGGCAGCATTTGGGGAACTTCCCTTGTCCCGCTGAAAACTCTTTGGGGCAAGGTTTATGCCTCAGGCTCCTGTCGGCCCTCCCAGGGCTCCGTTCTCGCACTCATCACATGAATTGCTGAGCTCAGAGGTGCCACGAGGCAGGAATGCTGCAAGGATTAGCGCTGAGGCCAGATCCCACTGCTACCTCGACTGTGACTGCGGCAGCTCCGCTTGGAGCTGTTTTATGGCTCGGGGTTCACATTAGATTACATTTACAACAAAAGGGCATGCTGCTCAAAAGTCTCAAAACTCTGGCCTTCGCAGTAAGTTCATGAAGCCTGGGGAAAGACCTCTTGCCCGCAGCGATTTGCTCACGTGTGCAACTCGTCAGCAGAGATCCAAATCACTCACTGCCTGGCCAAAGAGTAGGTTTAACTTACAAACACCACCTGGAGAGGGGCCAGTGATTTAACCTTGACTCTGGAAAAAGCAGTGCATAAACAGGGGAGGAGAAGATGAGAGACCCGGGATAGGGGGATCACTGTCCTGGGGAGGAAAGGGTGCAGAAGGGAGGCCAGGGACACAAGCCAACGACACCAACTATGCAGGCTGGCATCGGCTCTGTCTCCTGGGGCAACAGCTCCTTGTGCGGGAGTCCAGGCCACCCCTTGCCTGGGCTGGGGCAGGGGTATGTCCCTGGTCCTCTCCTGTGCTCATGGTCACTGTGAAGGTCTCCAGGATGTCCCCCAGGTGACACTTACTTGCCATGGCTTCCAGTCGTATCAGGAAGCAGACCAGGCTGGGGAAGCTGACCCTGCCGGTGCTGTCGCTGTACCTGAGGGCCATGAGATCCAGCAGGTCACTGCTGACAGAGATCCCTGCAAGGAAGTCTGGGCCACAGGCGAGCCAGTGAGCGGGGAGGAGGTCAGGCGTTGCAGGGGTGTGGGGGGAGGCATCCCTGCCTCGCAAGGCCTGAGAAACCAGTTCCAGGGGCCCAGTGACCTTCCACTGCCGTTTCCCACTCAGCCTCGCCCCAGGGCCCGTCCCCTCCTCCTCTTTGGTGTTGTTATGATTCTCTAGTTGCCTCTTCCTTGGTTGGTGGCTGGGCCACAATGACACTGCTCTGGGGTTTGGCCAGAGGCCAACTCAAGATACCTGAGACCCTGACGTTCTGGGGACACCTCAGCCTCCAGAATCATCCAATCTCTCCCAGGTGAGATGGGCGTGGCCTCTGTCAGACCTCTCTCTCTGGTGACCCTGTGAAACCACCTTCCTCTGCCACCCCATGGCCACAGGAGTGTCTCGCGGGTGGTTCCTGAAGAGGGGGATTCGGTCCTAAACTGGTCATACAGGGGAGAGGCTGGTCTTCAGAGGGGAGACCACACACATCGTAGTAGGTGGCCTCAGGTGGGCAGGACAGAGCTGGCTTGCCCTCTCTGCATGTTGTTTTATGAGCTCCAGGGAGGTACCAACCTCAGCTGACCTCCGAGCTCTGGTGAGCAAGCAGAAGCTTGTGAGCCGGCCCATCCATCAGGGGTCATGCCCAGTTGCCCGGAGGCCCCATCCAGCCAGAGACTGTTTCTCCAGCAGAGTTAATAAAATGTGCACTTGAATGCCTTTCAATGGGGCATGCCCTCTCCAGCTTGCCACACTCGGGCCCTTGGAGGCTCCCGAGTCTAATTCCAACTGTTCTGTTTCTTTCTTCCTTTTATTATCCTGGAGTCATTAGAGAGGTCCCCTTAAAAGGTTTCATCTTTCATGGGCTACTCAGTGGTTCTCAAAGTGTCATCCCCAGGTCAGGAGCTTGGCCTCACCTGGGGATTTGTCAGAAAAGCAAATTCTTGAGCCAACCCCGGCCCTCCCAGCCAGAAACATTAGATGGCTGGCGAGCCCTCACAGTCTGAGTTTTAACAAGCTCACAGACTCGTGCGCACTGGAGTCGGAGAACCACAGCTCTCGGCCGGGAAGGATGCAGGGGAGGCTACGTGCCCAAGGGGGCAGCGGCAGCCCGTGTTTCCCCCTCTGCAGGCCAGCAGCCACAGGAGGGTGAGCTATGAAGACCGGTGTCACCTGGGGCACCCGATTTTACATTTTATTCAGGAAGGCGCCGTTTCCCGACTCAACCTGTCTCAGATCCATTCACCCATCAGTACGGTGGAGACAATGATTCCTGCCCTTCCCAGTTAGTTCCCAGTGGTGGAGACACTCAGATGAGACGCCGTGAGTACAAGTCCTTGCTGAACCGTGATGCACCCCTGCACCCTGAGGTGTCATTGTCATCTGCCCAGGACTGAAAGCTCTTGCCTCCTTGAAGCAGGCAGATGCCGTTGCTTTCATTTAGCTCCAAACCCTCTGTCAGGAGAGCGGGTCAGCAGCCCTCCCGTGGGGACTTAACCCTGGTGGCCCAGGGGCTGAGATGGAGGCATCTCCAAGGGGCACCTTGTTTCTGGTGGGTACCAATTATGTGGGGTTACTTTCTCACCGTTAGAGCTGGGCTGGGGAGAAGGCTGATCGGCCACCTGGCTGGCCCCTGAGGACTCAGGCAAAGGAAGGCAGAGTCTGAGTCCAGAGCCTGGGGGCCCACAGAGGCTGGTGCACAAAAGGGGGTAGAGGGGGCATGGAAGCCGCAGCTCTGCTCTGTCCCCACTGTCCCACACCGCTGCTCCAGCCTTGCCTACAGCGTGCCGCGGGTGTGCGTCACACACCACACACACCACAGTCACCCGCCACTGTTGCAGCGTTACCTGTACTCTTGATGGCCTTCCACAAATCCGAGCTCAGGAAAACGGCCGAGTTCCCCTGGGTGTTCAGGTAAACCCTCTGATGCGGAAGAGAAGCAAGAAGCCCTCGTGAGTCCCAGTGACCCCCTTGAAGAGGACGTCCTGGGTAGAGGTGGGTCCCGGAAACCCCTTGTCCATCTCTGGAGGCTGCTTCACTAGACCTCCAGTGGGCTCAGTGCCCAGGCGGGCGGGGCGGCCCGGCTGAGCCCGGGGGAGTCTGGGGGTGGGCTCCGCCTGATAAAGCTGCCCACTCTGACCTCCAGCTGCGGGGCTGGGGGTTTCTCTCCTTCCCTACCTTTCCTCTCCCAACCTGCCCTCTCCTCTTCCTCACCCCTTTCACTGGGCTCCTGACACATGCTCAAGGCAGCTCATGGCTTCCCAGGGAGACGCAGAGCATTCTAAAGAGTTTGCGTAGGGTGAGCACAAACTTCACTGGTTTTACATTCCCGGCTGTGTGACCCCTGAGCAAGTTGTTTAATCTTTCCAGGCCTGTTCCCCATCTGCAGCACAGGGCTAACTAGCCAGCTGCTGGGTTTGTTGCGAGGAGAGCATGAGCAGATACTTATAAAGCGCTGGGGTGAGTGCCACGCAGGGAGCTCAGCAGGCAGGTGGAGGCTGTCCCCAGGGCCACACGCAGTTGCAGGCGATAGCAGCCCTGACACCTCAGGTTGTACAGGGCGGCTCTCCACCTGCACAGCATGTTTCTACCTCTCCCTGATACGCATGAAAACCCTGATTATCAGCATACGGTCACAGGTGGGGACTCGATGCCCAGCAGGGGAGTGATCGCCTTGGGTGAAGCCTACACGCGCCATGGAACTGCTGGCGGGGCTCCTGACACTGGCCAGTGCACGGCTGCCCACGGGAGCCACTCCAAGGGCAAAGAGCCCCCCAGTCTGTGTGCGACCGAGGCCGACTTCAGGAGACAGTCCTTGTGAAATAGCAGCGGAAGCACTTTTCTGGCCTTATATAGATTTTGGTGAGTATAACCACCAAATAGAGAGTGTTCCGAATGGGGTGTGCACTCATTCACTCGGTGATTCATTAGTGCGGTCATTTGTTCAGCATGTTTGAGCCTCAGCTGTGTGCTAGACACTAAGGAAAGCCCTGGGGAAGGAAGATGACTGTGAGGGAGCCCCTGCCCTGGGGATCCCACAGTCTAATGCAGGGGGGACATGTCACCACTGCAGTGCCCTGTGGGAAACCAAATAACCCCAAGCCAGGGATCAGGTGACACACCCTGGGAGAGACGCACACACAGGAACTTATATTTTACTATTGTGAGTTCAAGCGTTAAGGGGCTGAGGGGAGAACTAGCCAGGCCTGGATGAGGTGCCCTTTCTCTCAGGCCCCGCACCCCTGGTGCAGGACCGGGCCCCAGTCATATCTGCCCAATGGGATGGAACAGCGCCCGCCCCTGGTACCTGGCAGCAGAGGAGGCGGCTCCACAGCCGGGAAAACTCCTCTGGGTCGAGCTGCCCGTTCACTTGCAGCTGCTGGGCGTTAAGAGTTAACCAGCGCAGTGTGCAGCGAGCAGAGGGCTGCAGGTCCCACCAATAAGCCCTCCATCCATCAGCTGCTGACACGGTCGGCCCAACGCCACCCCGATGGGGATGTGGTCTCGTGCCAGCTGGCCCCCACTACATCGGAAAAGGACCTGGCTTAGATTCATATTACAAGGGAAAACGGAGAATTGCAAGGAGAAGAAGGCCCTGAGAAAAGGGGGCCAACATCTCTTGTGTCCAGGGGGAGAGAGAGATCCCAAACACAGCCTCCTCTAGCTGGGCTGAGGCTCCTGGCAGGGGAGCGGGGGGAGCAGCAGAGGGGTGGGCACGGCAACCCCCGAAGCAGCGTGAGAAGTGACTGTGGGCCAGGCGTGCCTGCGAATGGGTGGAAGGCATGTTGTGTGTTAGAGCCAGCCCTGGTTACTCTGTATGATGGGTTTCGTGAGAACGAATGAAAAGAATGGGCGTCTGAGGACCTGGAGTGTGAGGAGGACGAAGGGTGGCAAAGACCTGTCTGCCCTGCAGGGGATGCGACTCCCGTGGGGCCGCCTGCCCCAGGCTGTGGGGCCGCTGTGGCCATTTCCACTCATCTGCAGAGATGGGCAGTGTCTCCCAGCGATTCCAAACCACCGCAGGCAGAGACAGGGCCTGATTTATGATTTCATCAAGAAGCGCTCTTGTTTGACAATGTTAGGCTTCAAATTCCCAATCAAGTCTTGTTAAGAATGAAAGAGCGGGGGAATCTGTCTTGCTCTCAGAGACAGCCCACTTCGAGGGAAGAGCTACCGGCAGAAGCTGGGGTTATGCACACACAAAGCTAGTCTCTTCTGCCCATCAGGGGGTGGGGTCAAGCAGCTCATCAGAGAAAGAGCCCAGGATGGGAGTCTGGGGACCGGGGTTCGATTCCCAGCTCGGCCACTTGGGTCCATGAAACTTGGACACATCACTGGGCAGCCCCAACCTCCATCTCCCCATCTTCCATAGGGATTACAACTGCTGTGTAGCCTAAGGATTCTCTATAAGTTTCAGTGACTGGGGTAATTGGGTAAGATATTCAAATAGTGAAGGCTCCTCCAGTGGCGAGGGAGAGCAGGGGCGAAGAGTTTCCATCACTGCTACAAGGAGGCAGGAGTCCAGGCACAAATTCTAATTAGCTGTGTAATCTGGGCAAGTTACTTAACCTCTCTGAACCCCTGCTGCCACTGTATGGTGATACTTAGCACAGAGGTCGTTACAAGAATTGCAAGGAAAGAACATACACACACCCATATAGTTCTTGGCTCACGGTAGTTGTCGATAGATGGTAACTACTGCCACTGTTGCTATGGTTATCCTGGAGAGTTAGGGCGTTAGTCTAGAATGCACGGAAAGCTAGGCCCTGTGGTGAGCTCTCAGAACCAAGAAGAAGGGACAATATTGAGAGAAAAATAACACGCTAATTAGACTCTGGGGAAAGCCCACCGAGCGGATGGGGAAGGGAGGATATGACTGCAAAGGATACATCCATCAGCGCCACGATGCTCCGGGCCTCATCCAGAGAGAATGCGTCCCGCGGAAGTCCTGAGACGGGGAAGAATGGGAGGGGCTGAAATGTCGGGGAGGGCGGCATTGGACTGGCTTGGCAGTGGGGATGACGTTGGGGACAACAGCAGGTCCTTCCTCACCTCGCAGTAACTCCTGGTTGAGAAGGCTCTGGAGCCCGGTGGCATCCATGTTTAGTCCCTGATCCAAACAAGGGAGGAATGCTGGGATCATTCTGCGCCCAGCAGCCGAGGGGCGCGGCTGCCTGGCTGCCTGGCTGCCTGAAAGCACTCGGATTTCCAGCCGCAGTTCCCACCCAGTGCCGGTGTTCCGGCTCTCAGGAAGCCTTTCCTGATGGCTCCAGGCCATGGGGGTAACTCCCTGCTCTGCCCATCTGCAGTGCTCATGGCTCCCGATGTCCGATACCTTGTGTGGGTGCCTTGCATTTATCTCTTCACTCATTATTAGGCTGAACTTGGAGTTTGCTTCCTCCCCACCGTGCGTGGCACTGGGGAGCCCCTCAGGAGAAGTATCACGGAATGAGCCAATTCACCACTTGCTTCCAGAAAGAGACAAGGAAAAAACGACTATAGAATATACGTGTGTGTGTGTGTGTGTGTGTGTGTGTGTGTGGTGAGCAGTGATGAAAAGGCTGGGAATCCAGGCCCAGAGGAGCGGCTCTAATCGAGCACAGTCCTTAGCATTCGTCTCCCCAGACTCTGAAGCAGAAGGGGAGACGTCATGGTTTTCCTAGGATTAAAAATGGGAAGCAGCAGAGGTTAAGGGAAGAGAAACACTTTCTGGCCAGAACGTCCATAGGCATTAACTGGGCCCCTGAGCAGCTTCATGGGCAGTGTCCTCCCTGGCGACGTGGCAGAGAAGAAGGGAAGTTCTGCCTGTGGCTGTTTCTCACGTCTGCTGGTAAAAGCTGAGGGCACGATGGGATGTCAACACCCGGGAAACACTTTCATATGGGGAAGGAGTTGGAGTGAGGCCTCCCAGCAGATGGCCTTGCAGAGTGGCTGGCACCAGCTTAGGGGGAAGAAGGTGACTGTTTGGGGGTCTTCTGAGAACCAGCACCCCAAAGATGACAAACATGTGTCCCAGGGTTGGCCCTAAGGTCATCCCTCCAGTGTCTCCTGGGTCAGTTATGTCAGGGGAGCCGGTGTCACAGGCGCACAATCAACAGTGTTTTCCTCCAGAGAATCACGGCAACTTGCTTTGCAGAGCAGTGGACATGTCGGCGAGAAATTCTAACCAACAAGAATACAAGCATGGATCATACCTCCTTCCTTTGCAGGTCTGACCTGGCCCCTGGATGCAGTAACCACCAACATGTTTGAGGAGATGAGGATAGGAATAGAGATGAAGTTGACCTCAACACACCTGCAAGGAATCTGCTCTCCATCTCTACGACCTCAATGTGAGATTCCCAAGGACTGACGCTGCTCTCCCAAAGCTTGATGTGGTACTCGGTATGTCCTACATTTGGGGGACGTGTTTGCCAACTGAATAAATGATGGATGGATGGACCTGGCCTGTCCCAGAGGCCAGCTGCACCCTGGCTTGCCTACAGGCAGCCCCTGGGTTAGGACAACATCACCACTACCATGGCTGATGAAGGGGACGCGTGGTAACAGTGGCAGTACTATCAAGCCCCTACGTTTACTGAAGGCTAGTTAAATGGGTACGAGAGATCCAGAGAAAGAATACAGTGGTGCAGAGACAAGTATTTGGCTTTCAACTTTTCTTGGAGGGGACAACCTCTGAGTAGAGTTTGCAGGTTGTGCAGAATGATGCTGGTCCCACTCAAGGGTGCCCGGGCGAGGGATGAGAAGGGGTTGGAGTCCAGACTGGGTTCTACTTCCTGGCCGTGCACCTTGGCACCAAGCTGCATCTGTGCCTCCTTTCTACAGGGGCCCCGTGTGGGCTCCAGTTGCCCTCCATGAGAGACATTTGGTTGTTTGGAAAAGTCCTAATTAGGGAATCTGTACCATTTGTCATCTCACAAATGGTAATTTTTATTTCACATGTGCAGGGTCACAGACCAGGCTGAGGATTTTGTCACCAGCTTGGTCTCAGGTATCCGAATCAGGTCCTGCTGCTCACCTTGGGACAGTGGCCTGAGCTTGGGCATCTGCTCTGGGGGAGCTAATCTGTCTTCATTCTATGCAAATTGATGGAGCACCTTCTCTTTGTCAAGGGCAGTGGTAGGTCACGGGGACAAGAAATGCACATGATGTCATCCCTGCCTTCAGGAGCTCACAGATTGAGACAATAATTTTGTATCAAGTACCTTTGGAATCAGCCCAGGTGTGGACCTGAATCCGGGGCCCATATTGATTTCAAGGAGGTCCATACAGAGCTTCACCTTGTGACATATACCCTGCATGCCAGCCACGTTTTTCATTTCTCCTTGTGTTCTCCTCTGAGCCCAGGCTACCCGAGTAATATCTCTTTGGGCTGCCTTCTGGTCACCATGGCCCCATCAGCCGTCCCAATGTCTGGCATCCTTCCTGCCCTTGGCCTCTGCCTGGCCTGAAGCTGGCACCATGCCCGCGATCATCTGTATCACTTTCCACACCAACATGATTATTAATTGTAAAGAGCCCATTGTGCAGAGCCCTTGGCAGCTGTTTTTCATCCTGACAAGTCAAGGAGTTCTTTATAACGGTTTATAAAACCATTAAGAAAATCCCCTGTGGACATAGGTGGCTTGCTTGGCAGGAAGAGCACTGTTGGTGCTTTCCGCAGCTGGCCATCCCCGGGGGGAATGGTGCCAAGGTCAGCGGGAGCTGGCAGAGCGGGAGGAGCCCGGTTTCAAGGGGTGTTGCCAATTGCTTGTTGAAAGATTTAAAAAGCAACGTCCCTCTCCCATAATAAGCCCCTCCCCTTCCAAGCTCTACCTTCCGTCCCAGATGTCACCCAGGTTGGGTGTCACTTCTCTCCAGGACTTGGTAGCCTGCTCAGTTCTGGAGATGTCACCTTTCCTCTGTCCCCTGATAAAAGCCCGGGAGGGACCTCTTCCTTTGGGCCCTTCTGTCACCTGTCCCAGTGCAAGTGCCGTACCTGCTGGGCGTATCTGTAGAAGATGCTTTGTTGGGAGGCATTTTCTGGCAGACTTGCCTGGATCAAAGGGAAAACAGCCAACGTCAAATTTCTGGGGCAAAGGGGGCATCTGTCGGGTACAGGGAGGGCACAACCACCCCCCACTGGATCTGAGACAGAGGCTTCGCCCGGCAGCCGGGCACAGACTTTAGGGAACCGGCAGATGGAAGTCCGTGGAAAGAAGACGGCTGAGCACAGCGGGCCCCGGAGGCCCGGTCTTCTCCCCTCCGCCCCGCCCCTTCGGGCCGCACCGGCCCCTCACGGTGCCTCTGTGTCCGTGGGTCAGGGGTGAGGCGAGAAGGAAGGAGACAGGAGCTCTCAGGGATGGTAGGTGGCCGGTAAAGCCCACTAGCTACCTTGCCGCACACCTACCTTCAGTGCTTTGAGGCTGAAATTGCTGCCCGGGTTCCTAGAAAATCAGGGGGACAGCGTGACAAGAATGACCACGCACTATTCAAACGAGGCTTACACGTGGAGGGCACCCGAGGGGGCATTTACCCCTGAGTGGGGCCTGAGTGGGGAGCCCTCGGCACAGCAGGCTGTGACCGGGGCAGCAGTGGCAGTTGGCAGACAGAGGGCCATCGTGACCGTGTGTTCCAGTCTTTTGGGTCATCTGGCCCTTAGTCACGTGGTAAGTTGTTTCTTTCCCATCTAGATATTCGTGATCATAACCCCCACCGCCAGGATGCAGGACAAGCGTTGTCTCACGGTCCAGCTCCGATCGGTGGCCCGGGGCTATCAGGCCTGCTGAACTGATGAGGCTTCGTCCATGCTCAACTGTAAAGACTGCCAGGGTTCCAGTGCTGTCTGCCTCGGGGCCCAGAGGGGATGCGGTGCCCAATCGTGACCATGGACTTGGCATGGAAGACCCTCCACGGTGTGTTTTTATAACACTAGGTAGAATTTTTTATTTAGAATCCCAGAGGTTCTTACCTGTCCGTGTTCGGCATTTTCAGGAAGATTCGGAGCAAAAACTCAACTGCTTCTTTGTACGCAGACACGACCACCACGTAGGTCCCCGGGCTCAGGGTGAAGCACTTGGTGAGGTTGTACTTACTTCGCGTCACTATGCCCTTGTCAGCATTTCTGAACTGGGAGAAAAACGTGGGTGGCAATCTCTCCCGGAAGTGCTGAAACTAGAGGAACACGGTGGCGGTGAGAGAGGCCCCCTGTGCCTGCATCCTGCCACAGGGGGAGACCCACCCCCTTCCAGACCCCGCTCCATTGACCAAAATAGGCCCCAAAAAGGGAGACGGTGCCTACCCAAACTCTGACAATGCAATAGGGTTTACACTGCTGTTTAATATAGATGCTAATGCTACAATGAGTGCAAAGAGATAATGACACACGGTTTTTATGTCACTAAGTCTAACAGCATCCCATGTTTCTGGGTTCCTCTCTCTGCTTATGTACAAAGAAGAATCCCATGACCACTAGTGAGATTGTTTTCGCATTGAATTACTTTGGGAGCCTCCAAAGCCCCGCCTGTCCCGCACCTTTCGCAGAGCTCTCCTTGGGCTGCTGTGGTGCTGCCGCGTCGGGTTCCTTTCACTCCTCCTACTTCATCTTTCTAGCGGGGCCCTGAAATTTCTTCTCATTGGAGAATAATAGGCCCTGATCATTTTCCTTTTATTTCAATATTTTCTTAGAGATAAAACAATAAATTTAACGCAGTTCCCATTACTGGATGTCACATACATATTACATAATAAAAACCCCTTACTAAATAAATTATCCCCAACACAGTCGAGCATGGGGATTCCATTTAGAATGGTTATGCTGCATGAAATGATTATTTGTGAGCTCTGCCTTGGGGAAAAATAGGGAGCAGGGAAGAGCTTTTTTTTTTTTTTTTTTCCAGAGGGTGGGAACTTTGCACAGTGGCAGCATTGTAGCCAGTGAGGTTTCAGGGGGTGGGGACAGGTCTGGGCTACAAGATGGGACAGGAGATAGACCTCTGCCCCAGGGATTCTGCAAGGTTCTGGGTGGAATCTCCCAAGTGATTCTGTTGACATTCTCAACAGCCTCAGCAGGGGTGGAGCCTGGTTTGCTGGTCCAGCTCGGCTTGCTGGTCCAGCCCTGCTGGCAAAAGTAATGGTGAGATCAGTTCTCCAGAAGGGCAGCACTGTCCTGTGGCTCTGTGTGTGTCTTATGTGCACAGGTGTGGGCATCATGCTCCCTATAATCTAGAAGAGAAGGTTTTCCCTGTTCTCCCATCCTCCTCCTTCCCCTGCACCCTCATTGCTCAGCCCAGGCTCCTGGTCCTGCAGAACGTACTCAATGGCAGCAAGAAGTGTGAGTGTGAGGCCGTGACAGGGGCTCTTAGTTTAGTGCTCAGAGAACCGAGCACCAAATCAACACATGACTAGTTGCTCACTGGCCACACGGAGACCGACCCTGTAGTTGTGGGGATGGGGCTTGTGCCTTTTCCTGGATCAAGTCCCCGCCCCATTCTCTAGCTCTGGGAACTAGAACACTGTCCTGTTCCTTGCATCCGAGTGCTTCCCTTGAGGCCTGTCCAGAAATCCCACTTCTGTGCCTGGGGTGCCAGGGATCAGAGTCATATCCTAACCTCAGCTCTGTGCCTGAGCTGCTGCAGTACCAGACAGGCCTCCTTGCTGTTTGCTTGGTGCCCCGGCGTTCAGAGCATCCCCTACTGAGACACGCCCTGTCTAGCCTCTGTCTACCTGTTGGGCCCCCCCTTCCCTGGACCTGCCAGCCTGCTAGTCACCACCCATTGGCTATGGCTACATCCCACTCGCTCCCTCCCCTCCTCAGGCCCCAGGCACAGGTCTCCCCGTGGGAGCAACAGCACCGCAGAACCCATTTAAAGGGTCTGAGTGCTTGTGAGCTAGGTTTTCCAAACACCATCTGCCCTTTCCATCTTTACTTGTGTTTTAAGCCACCTTTCCCCAGTGCTGAGCCAGAATATCTACTTCAGACCAGTAGCAATTTGGTCGTAAGAGGAACTGGAGGATGTCCCTTGAAGTTGTATTTGCACAGCATGCATTCTGCTTGGGGACTGACAAAGATCCTCCCAAGGCACCCTGTTAGTCCTGCCTCTCATCTTAAATGAAAAGGAACCGGTTGCATCAACCTTATCTATTAGAAGCCAAATGCCTGAGGATGATTTTACAGGCGCAGTTCCTCTTGAATGTCAAACCAGAGAACAGCTCACGGGGTCCAACCTTTAGAGCAGCCCTGCTAAAATATGTCCTTCATCGCTGACCTGTTTGGAGACTCTAAGCTTGTAGCTGTTACGGGATTTAGCAAGACTGAATCTGCAGCCACCGAACAGTGAGAAACGTGTCAAGGCCAAGGCTGTTGAACGCTTGACCGATAGACAGCAACAGAGGCAGGAGAAGCCCAATGACGGGGGTGGCGAGCAATACCTGAGAGTCGACCTGCGGGGGAGAAGAAGAAAGGCAGGTTCAGGAGCTGAAACAAATACACAAAAGCAAGCCAATCCAGCAGCCGGGCTCAGGCACGCTCGGGGATGAACGGGACCATTGCACACTCCCTGTGTGGAGCTGTGAGAAAAGAAGCCAAACACATGAAGGGGAGGACGTGGGGGAGGGGACGAAGGTGCCTGAGAGGAGGAGACCCGTCCTGCGCCAGCTCAGCCAGCTGTGGTCACTCGTCACAGCAGTGATGGAAAACCTGGGAGGAACGCGGGATGTTGCTGGGGCCTGGAGGTAAGACAGAGTCTCGACCAAACGTAAGTTCTCCAGCTTCGGGGCTCCAGTGAGAGGTAAACTTCTTTCATCCCATGAGAGTACTGTGAAATGTGATGGGAATTTGTTGCAGCTCCCTGGGTTTGTAGAGAATAGGTGTGTGCACCTGAACGGGGAAATACCTACATTCCGGTCTTTCCACCTGGCAGAAGGAACGCAGACCATTTCTCGGCCACTCCACAGTTTGCAAAGCACTTCTGTGTCATGTGCACAATTGTCACAGTAATCCTGCTAGCGGGCGCTGGGCTCCTTATTTTGGGGATGGGGAAACTGTGCCTCAACACACTAAGTAGCAGAGGTGGAAATAGAGAAGTGGTGTTGCTCCTTTTGTCATTCAGATCCACCAACAGTGCAGGTTGGCACAGCTGGCAGGGTTTCAGTTCTTTTCCACTGCTGCCCCTGGGTGCACCTAAGAGTACAGATCCCTTGATTTGTCCAGGCTGACTTCTCTGCAAACAGGGGTCAGCTGGAAGGGAGATAGGGCGTCCCAGCCCGGGGGAGGCACTTTGGAGGGGAGATGAAATGGCCTGTCCACCCTTGTCCATTGATTTCATGCAACTAGGAAGCGGAAGTGTGCTCAGAGGGAGCAGACCCCAAAGGGCTCTCCTTCTGGAGCCAGAATTGTTGTTTCCCTTTGAGCTGTGGGCACCACCAGAAGGGCACGTGCCTAAGTCCTGCTAAGAGCCCGGGACCTGGGACCAGAAGTTCTGGTATCAGGCAGATATTGGTACCTCCTAGCTGTACATTGGGCAGGCCATTCTTGCTCTTGGCTTTGGCTTCCACATCTATAAAAACTAGGGTTTTTGAGACAATGGATGTGCACACTCTTGGAACTCTGTGTCAGTGGACTTCTTATTAACATGAGCAGCAGCCAGCACACGGGACTGTTTGTCCATATATGGGCTAAGACCCATGGTTGCGAATGTTGCCTTAGTCTCACTGAACAGAAACTGAGATTCCTACAGATGTTGTCACCAGAGCTCCAGCCACGGAGGTGATGGCTTGGGGAACATCGGGTGCCCGGTCCCCAGCTCTGCCATTAACTCTGCCCCTGTCACTCCACCCCACTGGGCCTCAGCTTCTTCAGCTCTAATGGGAGGAGAGGGGATCCCAGCATTTGATGGCTGCATGAGCTTCATTATCCAAGTAAATTGCAGAGGCTGTGGGGTATACAGTTTCAGAGACATTCACTTTATCTTCAGGATGCATTTAATTACTTGGGGAAGGGGGAGGGCGCAGAGGTATCGGGTTTCCTTTTGTAAGTCTTGTTTTAAATGGTATTTTTAGAAAACAAATTCCCTGATTATCTACTCACAGTTGGAGTATGTGCAGGCTTATAGGCAGGAGGAATTGCCTCCACCCACTTCCCCCGGAGCTAAACAGCTGGTTGGGAGTGCCATGAAGGGGAGGGAGGCCGGGTGGAGAGGAAAACTTGGCCTTGGATGAGTGGCTAAGCAGATGCTTACAAGCCAACCACTGAGCTACAGCAGGCCTTTGGTCTAAACATAACAGAAAAACATCTCCTGGCTTTATAGCCTTTCCCTGAAAGTTCTCCCAAAGTTTATCTAATGATTCTCAAGCTTTCCTTCCACAAGCATCACCCAGGGAGCTCACTGCAATGCAGATTTTCAGACTCTGTCAGCGGAGATTCAGATTCAGGAGGCTCGAGTGGTCCCGGGAATCTGCCCTGTTAAAACCGCTGTTCTTGGACCGGACTGCGTTTTCAGCAACAAGCATTAGGGCATGCAGCTGCCAGGAGAAGCCGACAGGAACAGGGGGTGTGTCCCATTGCCAAGTCTAACCTCCTCTCTGCCTCAGGCTTTCCCGCAGATTTACGGAGCTGGACCAGATGAACTCTATAGCCTCTTTGGGTTTTATCTCTGCGGTCTAGCAAAATCTCCTAGCCCGGTTGGCTGTTCTCTCCCTGCAATGTGGACACAAAAGTCCTGAGAGGGCTAGCCCAGAAGCAGTCTGTCTTACCTTGAACACATGGAAATTCAGTGGAAATTTCCCGTCATTTGCCTTTAAAGTCTGTGGCATGATGTTGAAAGACACGGTGACATTGTTGCCTTCCGTGATCTCCGGCACGGAGAAGATGTACTGCGTGTCGCTCTGAGGTCCTCCTGCAAGAGGAAGAGCTGTTACCGGAGCTCAGCTGGGCCCATGGGACTCCTGGTGGGGCCGTGTCTAGTTCAGGGAGGCCTGGGGGAGGGGTCAGAATGCCGGATTTGGGGATCTAAGGCCTGGGTCCTAGTCCCCACGGTTGCTAGCTATGGAACAAGCTGCTTTATTTTGTGAGCCTCGGTCTCCTCCTTTTAAACACAAAGAGGAGAAACATACATTCGCCACTTGGTGAGAATGTTTCTTAAACTCGAACGATGAGGACCAGCAGAGTGAGGGGCCTGAAGGTTGAGAAGAGGGGCGCCCTGGGGGAGGGGGTTGTCAGGCAAACCATTCAAGACAGGCAGATGCCAAGGAGAGGGAATGCGCAGGTCGAGATGCAAACACACACGCACACTCGTGCACACACGCATAGTTTACACACCTCCCCTCTCAAGGCTGTGTAAACACACTCAGGTCCATCTTCACAGGGAGCCCTTTTCCTCATCGCTGTCACACACGGGGAGTGGGAGGTGCAGCGGGACCATGCGCCGCTCCCAGGGTCCCCTGTGATTCCTCTCGGAGGAGGCCTTCGTCTGGGATCTCAGTGCAATACTGCAGGACACACCAGCCCAGGGGGTGGGAATGTTCTCCCCGATGTCTGGGGGGGGGGGGTCTTGTGGTTTCTAAGGGCAGACAGGGGTTCCCAAATCCACTGTTCACAGGTAGGGAGGCTGAGGACAGAGACCAGCTCTATTCTCCGAGTCACAAAGCCAGTGTACAGCAAGGACGAGGGTTTAGCCCGCCCTCGGCTTTGTCCAGTGTTCTTTCCTCACTCCCCCAACTTCCTGGAAATGGCTGGGGAGCAGTCATCCTGCTCCACTCCTGGGAGGCGGGTAGAGGTCAGCGTCGGGATAATGGGGAGAACAAAGGGGCGGGAGGCCCGTTTGGGATTTTCCCGCCCACCCCCACTAGCAACCATTTCCCTTGGAGAACCACAGCTTTTCCTTTGGGCTAACAAATTCCTTTCCTCCCAACTTCGGGCGGATGGTCTAGAACCGAGAGCCCCGGGGCCTGAAGCCAGGGCTGGCAGCTCCCCATCCAGCGGAGTCCTTACCAATGTCGTAATCATCTGTGGTACCTCCCGGAATCACACGGCTCTTAAACATCATCTCAGACCATGTTCCCAAAGACGTGTTGCCATGGTCCAGGCTGACAGGGTACTGGTTGCACACATACAGGCAGAAGAAGTTGTCTTGGAAGTCTCGGCATGGCATCCTGTTAGAGGTAGAGGCACATCACTTCATGAGCACTGTTTTTGTCTCCAGGGTGGGGGTCCCCTCGTTTCACGGTGCCTCTCTGCCTGTCAGCTACGGCTCTCGTTGGCTCGCCACGGTCCTGCCCAAAGGTGGAGCCTCGTTCTCATTCTGGGCCACCCACTGTCGAGTGCACTTCTCCTCCTAGTGGCTGGGAGGACAAGGGCAGTCGAGTTCTGGGTTGTGCGTGTCACCTGGCAAGGGCTTTATCACGGATGACCGTCTCCTCGACCCACTGACCGAACCGTGCCGGCTCACAGCCTACAGGGTGACCGCCAGTCCCTCTCTGCTCTGAGTCCTTCACGCGGGGAGCAGAGTCGCCTTTTCCTCGGGCCCTTTGCCAATTTCATCGTGGAACTTTCTTTTCTTATCAGATTAAAAAGAATTCAACACCTAAATCCCACCTCGTGCTGTGATGAAAGTGGAGATACCAGAAATATTTTTCCTTTTAATTTACATTTGGTCCTCTAATTCTTCATTACTGAGACTCAGCTTCCTTTCCCCAGATGTCACAGTGCATTTAAACTGTCACCCTCAGAGAAATGTCCATCTCATCCTTTAAGGTGAGAACATATGGCCAGAAATGTGTTTCCAAAACATCTAGTCCTATGGAGCTGCTGGGTGATGGATGACACCCGTGTCTCACCGGGACTCTGGCCCCGGGGCTGGGGGACGGACACCGAGCTCACTCTCCTGGAATTCGGCTCCAAGGTCCCGGCAAGAGGCAGAACAGATACAGGCATGAAAGCCATGCATCTCAGGTTCCAGGAAAACTTGGACTCAAAGCTTCAGTGCCAATATTTCCCTCTACCATGAACATTTCCTAGAAGTTCCAGGATTTCAGAGATGCTGTGTCTTTCACACAGAGAGCACGCAAGTAATTTCCCCTTCAAGGCTCTTGTGTCCTGGTTGAGAAAAAAGGCTCCCTCTGCACAGGTCCCTGCAAAGCTGATCTCTAGCCTCAGAAAACTTGAGGGAAAGGGGGACGATTGAGGGTGTGGACAATTGTTAAAGATTTAAAGTGTAATTTTAAAAGAAGAGCAAATACCAAAACTCGCCATCTTCCTTATTCTTATACAGCTGGCTTTTCCGTGGGTCCTGGGTTTCCTGCCACTCCAGAGACCTGAGTGTGAACAGAGAGACCAGAAGGTGAGACCTCTCAGAGTGTCCCCTCTCAACCCCATCTGGCCCCACAGGGGCCCTTGGCACAAGTGGAGAGTGTCGCTTTACCTAGTGACAGGATTAAGTCGTTCTCTACATGCCGATGGCTTCCAGCCTGTCCTTAGCCTGTCCCCAGCCCGTCCCCTTTCCTGAGCTCTAGGTGGATGCACGCTGTGGTCCATCTCATGTCACCCTCAGTGACCCCGAAATCCACTTATCCCAAACAGCGCTCACCCTTGGCCTCCTCCTATTGCCCAAACGAGAACATGAGGTCGCTCTCGCTCACTCCCCCACATCCGAACAAGCACCCGTGGTAATGAACTGTTGATTCCAGCTCCTAGCTCCCTCTCGAAGCCATCCACCCTATTTTACTTCCATCCCTATGGCTGCTCCAGGTTCAGGAACCCTCCTCTCCCTCGTGCACTTCTCACTGGTCTCCCCAAACTCAGTCGTGCCCACCCTCCCATCCGTTCTTCACACTGACATCGAAACAATCTTTCTAAACCAGAAATCTGGTTACGGCACCTCCCCGCTTACAACACAGTAGTAGTTCCCGTTTACTCTCAGGATGAAGTTCAAACTCCTGAACCAGCACCTGGGCCTCTACCCTCCTCTCCGGCTTCACCAGAGCAGCTCCCTGTTTCCCTAGCCCCACCCTTGAATGCTACGCTCTAGCAATAATGGATGTCTTCACTTAGAAATACCCCTGTCCTCCCCCCTCCCCCCACCTCCTCGACTTCCCCACGATGCTGCTTCTGCCCGGAATACTCTTCCACCTTTCAGTCCTGTAACCCAATAGCTCTTAGTCCTCCTGCCCCTGAAAAGGCCCTCGCTGAGAGGCTGTGCTTGCTCCGCTCTGGCATCCCACTCCGCCTGCAGTGTCAAGGCCCCTCCCTCCTTGGAGCTCCCCGGCACCCTGCACGATGCCTGTCCCAGTGTGTGGCGCCCTGCGTTACTTGTTACTGTGTGTGTCACTGGCCTTGGAGTCAGCTGACTCCCGGCCACCTTACAAATGTGTGACATCCACAGAGTCCCGTCCTCAACAGCCCTGCTCAACTCCTGCACGCTCATGCCTACGCTTCTTTTGTGGAAACAGTTCTCAAGTTCGGCCTTCCCCTTCTCCTGCTGCCTTCCGTTTTTCCCAGCATTACTGTCTTTTCCAAAGGACCCCGCTCGGCCGTCCCCTCCTTGGAGCTTCTCAACATCCATGAGATCAATGAGCTTTGCTCACCATGGTAATGGTAGCATCACAGAAGCTTCACACAATGCCTTGGCACACAGTAGGCATGCAATAATATTTTGCTCACTTAATTAATAGTTAAGATTATTGACTTCGTTGGGGTAATGTGTTCCAGAAAGTAGTCCTACGGTCTGTGGTGAAGGAGATGTTCAGGGGCAGAAGGGAACCGGTGCCCCGCCCTCAGCCCACTCCTCAAAGTGGAGGCGTGCTCAGTGGCGACGGGCCCCGGAGACGCAGAAGTGTAATGAGGTCTTCCTGTGTGAGCGGCTTGCGTCAAGGACCAGGTCACCTCCACGCAGGGGGAGCAAGGCAGGGACCGCCCCCCGGGCTCCTGGCCGCAGGCTGAGCCCGTCGGATGTGCTTTTGTAAAATGGCAATTTTATAATTAAGCGATAATTACGTTTTCTGCAGTGTATAAGGGAAAATAAATGTAGTGTAAATCAATAAGCTATCGATTCATGCAAGTTTGCCTCTAAGTGTGTGCGACTGAAATTTCAATTATGGCTGAGATCAGACCACCTGGCTCCGTCTATCCATCTCCATCCTTTAAAAAGGAGGACACCGACCACCTTCATGGAGACAATGATTACGTAGCTCCATCACTTCCTTTCAGCCTGGCTTCTGGTGGGAAATGTTCCGCTAAAACACCCCCAGGCCCCGTGGTGCACACCTCTCTCCCTCGCTCAGAGGCCTCCGTAAACCCGGAGAGCGTCAACCCAAACTTCTAGCTGGCACTGGGCTCAGCCCCGGCTCCTAACGCCCCTCTCCCTGGTTCCTCTGCCTCGGGCCAGCCTGTTGGCCTTGAACGCTCTGTAAATGTCCCTGGCTCGGCCCAGTGGCCCACGCGTCCCCACCTACACAGTGATCTCTTCCGAAGTGAGTCATACTTTTTTTGGAGGTCGAACTCAAACTCAGTCTCATCCAGGCTTTCCCTGAACACATGCCAGCCCACTGGCGGCTTCTCTTCCCTGATCTCCCGTGTCCCTTGTTGCCTGCCCTGGTCATTCGACGCTTAGCGTGGGAGACTGGGCAAGGCATCAGCTCGTGAATTTGTGGCCCTTGCAAGGGAATGTGTCCTTGGCATTTGCTTCTCCTCCAGTTTTGGCTCAACAGCCAACCCGGAATCAGGGATGCTGGCTGCTTATATTGCCCCCTGGGGTTTATTTGGCAGCTTGGGGTGATAACTGAGGAGGACAGGGCCAGAAGTTGTGAAGATTTACATTGGGGAGGGCAAAGGGTAGCCCGGGAAGGAAGGAAGAAGAGAGGCAAGAAAAATGGCGAAAGGACCACTGAGTATACAAACATTGTTCGGTGGTTCCTGGGTTTGCAAATTCACTCCCCTCCTGTGCAGGAGGTTTAGCCACCACCTGGCTCTCCAGGGAGCATCTGCGATCACACCCAGGTTTGTTTGTTTTCTCCTTCCTCCCCTCTCTCTCTTGCTTCCTACCCCCCAGCCTAATCGTATTTCCAGCTCCTATTTGCTGAGGGTCCGCTGGTGCAGGCTCCCATCAGCTGTTGGGGCTCACAGAGGATCAGAAAGGTCCCCGTCACCGCCTTGCCTGGGCCAGTGGGCCCCATTCTGGGTGGCCACAAATTGGGGCCTGGACACTGGCCAGCTCTGCATCCACCTTCTAGAACTCCCTTGTCATTGTGCTGACATTCCCTGCTTATTGGGTCCTGTTCTCCTGTCTGTCTGAATGCTGTGTATTTTTTTGCAAATCATGTTCTCTTTCCCATTCCCAACTTCTTCCCACACAATCTCCGCCCCCCACCTCCCTCACCCCCGGCAATGCTGTTGTGGCCGCTGCTGTGACCCAACACCCTCAGAGGGATGAGACGGGGCTGGGGGGCTGGGCCCCACTGGCTGTCCCTGGCCCCCTGTCCCTCTTGGGACCGCCATCTCGTTCTCAGCAAGAGGGTGGGGATCAGAGACTCGTTGTCCTGGCGGCTGGGAAATGCCAGCCCAGCTCCTGGGAACCTCTGACCTCACAGATGGGCCCTCACTGGTCAGCTGGGCCTGAGGGCAGCTTCCTGGGACATGGCCAATAGGGGCAGCGGAGACCCGCTTAGCTCCACTCACTCATACTCTCTCTGAGTGAGGTGCTAGCCCACGCACCGGTCCCACGTGAAGGCATGACATCGTCCCAGATGGACTGAGTAAAATGACCGTCTAGATCTTGGCCTCAGTTTCCCCATGCCCTCTCCCTGACGGATGAAGTCTTTTCTATCCTGAGGACACGGCTTCATCAGGACCAGAGTCCTGTGAGACCCATTTATGTGAGGAGACACCTGCTCTCAGCTCCCTCTGCCAGGTGGAACTTGGCTCCTGCTCTGCCCCCACACCCATTTTTAAAAAACACTAATTCTGAATTTGGGGGCTCAAAGCTCTAGATTCTGAACTTCTGGAGGACAGACACTGGGTCTTGTCACCTGTACCTATCCCACACACCCACCTGACAGTGTACTTAGTACAGAGAGTACTCAGTCGGTGTCTAATAGGTGTTTGGTGAATGGCACCAGGGGCACGCGAGACAGACTGACAGACACACGAGGGTGTGAACTGTGAACAGCGGGGCGGGGGGGGGGACAAACACCACCCTCCTGGGGCAGGGAGCTCTCTGCACGCAGGTCCGGGTGACCGAGTCTCCCTGACAGACAGACAGGTTTTCAGAAGCCGTACCCGTCCCCCCAGCGCCCTTGCCATTCAGTGTCGCCCCAGGGGTTCCACAGGCGGATAAGATCTTCCCAGCCTGTCCTGGACTGAATCTGTAACGAACAGAAAAGGAAACTGTCAGAGCTCTCCAGCAGAAGTCAGCAGAAACAGGGGATATGAATGCAGCTGCTTTTTACCTCCAAGGACCAATTTAACTTCTGACCTCATTTGGCTGCAGACAGAAAAAAAAAAACCCTGAAAGAAAAAAAAATCGATGCCTGCTGCCTGCAAGGAGTTGGAATGAGATAGAGGAGAAAATGGCCCCTTTCTGCTCAGCACCTCGCAGGGCAGGTGCGACTTCATCATTCCCTGTGGCTTCATCCCAGAACTTGGGTGAGCTGAGATTTAATAGCAGATAAACAGCACAGGACGTTGCCTCGGGCTGCAGACTCTACGGGTCTCTAGCCTCCTCTAGGCCCCGTCACAGCGGCATCTCTATTCCAGACACAGCACTTCCCTGCCAGTCGCCGCTGGGAGCTGTGTCAGGTCTGCACAGCGCCGTCCCGCTGATTGGAGCAAGACTGGGACAACCTGGGAATTGAGATGTCGGGGGCTAGCCGGCCTCATCCTGCTCCCTGGTCTCTGTTGATGAGCAGGGCGCCTCGATGGCGTGGGCTCTTCTTTCCCCTGGGGTTGGTACATTTGCTCCTTCCAACCATGGAGGCCAGAGGGCAGGGCGGTTGAAAAATTACAATGAAATAATGGCAGCCCCTTGAACCTCCAGTCCCGGGTGCAGGAGCCCTCAGCCTGCACAGTGCTGAGAACTGGAAGTATGATTGAGTTGTAGCTGCGATATTGATCTGTGCTAATGTCGTCTGTGGAGACGGAGGCCCGGAGGGTCAGGGAGGGGGAGGAGGTGCTCAGTGACGCTGGGCGGGAGGAGGCTGGGTGGGATACGACAGCCTGGGAAAGAACCCGCGTGCGGAGGCAGGGCTGGGAACCAGGCGTGAGTTCGTCCTTCCGTCCTCCGAGGTGGATTCTTCTAGAAGCCCTGTCTCACAGAGGAGGAAAGTGAGCATTAGGGAGGTTCAGCAACTTTCCTAAGGCCACAGAGTAAGTGGCAGAGACAGAATTCTGGCCCTGGCCACTCGAGGGCTCCAAAGCCCAGGCTCTTAATTTTGGAGCTGGGGGTGGATAGAGGAACAACCCGCTCTTCGATGTGGCTGTGAACCTGACCCCACATATAACTCTAAGCCACCTGGCCGACACTCATATGATCACACTAGAGCATTGTCATGAAGAGGCAAGGCTGTCAGGTGAGGGCCCAAGAACCTGGCTCAGCTTCGGTCCTTTCCTGGGGCTTTCCCCTGTCTGCTGCTAGCTTTGGCTGGCACTGCAGTGGAAGGTGCCCTGGTTTTAAGTGCCACACGGGTGGGAGAGCTTCTGGCACAAACCCAGGTTTCCCACCCCTCTGTGCGCAACCCCCAGAGCACTCCAGGCCCTGCGCATCATGTATTAATCGCCAGCATCTGGTGGAGCCCACAAGCAGGACATGAGTAATGGTGGCCCGGTGGCCCAGAGAGCTTAATGGACCACCCTGGGTGCCTAACAGACAGTTGGGGGCTCAGCTGGGCACAGGGGAGAAGAGTGGCCAGGGGTTGGAGGGGCTGGAAGAGGGCTAAATGAGGCATGCAGATAACCACTCACCCCCTTGCCCAGGGGAGTCACGGCCCAAGCTAGGTACATAATAAAAAATGCCAATTTCATTTATCTTCCTGTCTGTGTCCCACCCAGAGGGAGGACGTGCAGATTAAAAAGCACACGGCATTTATGCACTGCTTTAATCTTAGCACTTGCAGAGAGTTATAACCTCCTTCTTCTGCAGGAAAAATTTTTAACCAAGTCAAGTTCTTGGGCCCTTGTCTGACGGGTCTCTTCTTTTGTGCCAGTACCCCACTGGGCATCCCATGGACCATGGCCTGGTGGTGCAGGAGTCCATTTGAGATGAGAGGTACTCCAGGTTATCTGTCCTAGCTAGTTTTTCCTCAAATGTATTTTCTCAGATGGTGGTTCCATAGGCTGTTAAGACTTATTCCTAGAAAAAAGCTTTCGTGGTTGATTAAAGGTAAGTGGTACTTGTCCGGTTAACACAGAACTTCTCAGAGCCTTTAGCATGTGCCTGTCCAAGCAGGGGACATGGTGAGCTTCACAGGGGTCTCCCCTGGCTGGGAGGTGGCAGCAGCCACAGAATAGCCAAACAGACCGTAGAGGATGCGAAGTCCCATCGCCTGCCATCACGGGGCAGGCACCCTGTCCAGCCCACTCACTGTAGTATAAGAACAGCTCACAGTGGGTGCTGTCAGGGAGTAAACATTGAAGCAGTGAGAGGCTCCCCAGGAGCCCAAACCCCAGGGAGCCCACGGCCTGGCTCCTGAGTTTACCTCCATTCCCTGGGCCCGTGGTGTCTACCTGGCCACTCTGTCATCTGACAGTCACTGCCACCTCCAGGCCCAGCCCCTGTGGGGACTCATGTCCCATGGCCATCCGGGCCTCTCAATACACAAGTCCCTTCCGCCCTGTGTTCAGAGGAGAAACAAAGGCCGTCTCGATGGAGAGCGAGGTCTTGCCCTGGAACGGCAGATCCGTCATGCAGCTACCACGGCTCTTTCATTCGTTGCCCAGCACAGGCGTCAGTCACCCATCGCAGGTCACTTCCACTGGATCTGGAAGCGGCAATCCAGACAGCATCGCCAACCGATCGAGTTTGGCACGCAAGGAAACCGACGTGCTGTCTCTACCCTGTCCACATTGAGGTCCAGGGAGTTGCGGGGAGCAGTGTGTCTGTACATGGCCAGGCGTGGTGATGGTCCTGGCCGCCCCCACTGAGAATTCGGGGAAGGGAGTCTGGAGCCACTGTGCCTGGGGTCTCTTCTGGCCTGGGTTTATCGGGACAGCCTCTTTCTGGCTGGTGGGAAACGTCTTTTGAGCTCATCACACAAGATCTAGCGTGAAGAATCTGTGATGTCACCTTCAGAGGCCACAGACAAGTGCAGGCACTCACTCATGCAAGAGTCCAACAAGCGTTTAGGTGCCTACTGTTCCCACGTACATGCAGAGTAAGTGCTTTGTCACTGATTTCTTGAGGGAGACAGAACATATTGTCCCTGTGGTGTGGGTTGGAACACTCACCAAAACATGAAACCAGGGAGCAACTGGCCTCAGGTCAATGGCCAGGAGGGACAGGTTGGTGCAGAGAGAGGAAGCAAGCACGACGAAGCACGGTAGAAACAGAACCTGGCACTCCGCGTTCCGTGGCCCCTAAGTGCCTGCGAAAAGTGTTCCCGGAGTCTGGAATGTGATCTCCGAGGGCCAGAAGACGTTCTTAGGCTCAAGATGTGGGGGAAACAGAGATGAGGGGACACTGGTGGGACGTCATCACAAGGCCAGGAAGTGCTGCTGCTGCACGGCAGCACGATGGGCACAGATGGCGCTGAGGAGCCAGGGCGTCTCGGCCCGGCCATTTCAAGGGGCCGTGGACCGTCAGAAAGACCTCCCCCTCCCAGGCCTCAGCTTCTCCATTACGAATGGAGGAAGCTGGGCGTTTGCAGTGTTTTCCAGACTGAATGGTACTGCACATGGCAACTGCATACAATTTTCTGTACCCAAAGTCAGTTCTGTGTCATGGGGGAGACCATCCTCCCCTCTTCCACAGGACGAAGTTTTAGCTGGGCATATGGTGGCCCAGCTGGGTGTATGGTGGCCCAGCTAGATGGTGCATTTCCCAGGCTCCCTTGGGTCTCCGTGTGGCCACACGTTTAGGTTCAGATTAAAGGGAGCTGAGAGGGCATGCGGGTTTCCTGGTGTGCCCCTCACAGAAGGGCGTGCAAGTTTTCCCTGGCCTCTTCCTCGTCCCCTGGCTGGGAGATGAGGGGACCTGGAGCCGCCGCCCTGGAGCCGCTGCCCTGGGCTCACAGGTGGAAGTTCAGTGCTGTGGATGGCAGAGCCACTTACTAGCTTTCGAATCACCTGCTTACTACCTGAGAGAAAAACGAACTTGATCTTGTTTGAGCCCTGTATTTTGGAATGTCTTTGTTACAGCAGTTTAGTTGGTGTGTTACAAATAAAACATACTCTTCCAGGGCAAAACTTGCCCCAGAGTCAACTGGCTAGTTTGTTCTGCTTTCCTCTGCGGTAATCCCCCAGTCTAGCCAGAGACTCACCCTGTCTGAGGTCACTTCAAGGGCAGTAGGATCCCTGGGGGATGGAGATACCGGGCACTTCCGGATGAACAGAAGGAAGGATGCAGTCCATGGTGGGCCCCACCATGGGGTAAGGGCGGTAAACACTCATTTCAGCTTCCCTGGGCGTGCTGAAGGCATGTGATTCCGACCCACGTTTCCAGGGGCAAGAACACGAGGCCCAGCCCATGAGAGCCTTACCGTCTCAGCTCCTGTAACGGTGTAGGCGTGCTGGCTCACCAGGCCGTTCTCCATGCGTGTGGCGATCCCTGTCGGCTACAAAGGAGAAAAGCAGACTGTGATTAAACTTTTGCAGGTTTTTCAAAGAAAGAAAAGCACAATTCATTGGCAGCTGAGCCGTGCATGGCTGGGTAAAAAGTGTCCCACTGACTCCCAGTAGAATGACATGGATTCCTGGGACTCTTTTTCCAGAAAAGCAATGTTTGAAGACTGCTGGATGGTTGAGACCCCAGGCATTTCATACCTCAAGAGACCGCCCCACGAGGGATAGAGCCCCGCAGAGTCCTGAGGACCTGCTGCTTGCTCCTCCAATTACTCGTCATCAATGAGACAGCACAAAACACGTGTGCTGGGCATAACCACACCCCTGCTGTGAGTACTTGGGCTTTAAAGTGCATCTTAGTTTTTGGTGGCATTTCGGATTAGGAATGTGTGACTCAAAGCCCACATGTTTAAAGAATGAAGAAAGCAACCTGGTGAGCAGGGAGCTGGCTGTCTCAGAACAGACTCAGATAATTTGGAGGGTCATCCAGACTTTTCCAAATGGAGATGCACTGCCTTTGGAGACAGGGAGCATCAAAGGCTTGCCAGTCACTCCGGACCCGTTGCTGCTGGTCATGAGGAAGTACTAGGCAAAGGTTTCGGAGTCAGACAGCAATATCTGAACCCCGGCTCAGCCACCTCTGGCTGTGTGATGGGGAGCACTTTCCTTGGCCTCTCTGAGCCCATTTCCTCTTCTCAGAGTGAGTACTGCAACCCTATCTCAGAGGGAGGGCTGTCTTGAGGATTAAGTGATGTGACCTCAGGAAAGCACAGCATTAGCGCTCCCTGATGGCTTTGACCATGACCTTCCCCAGCTGGATGAACCAGTGGCTGAACACTCCTGGGCAAGGAGAGGCTCGAACCCGTGTGAAGGGAGCCCTGGTCTACTCACGCTGACCGGGGTGGCGCAGGTCATCAGGGACTCTTCTTGGGCTGCTGTCTTCACCATCGTCACTAGGTCAGAGGAGGAGGAGTGCAGGTCCATGGTGGTGACCACCCCTCCCGTGAGGTCCACCAGGGCATCAGGGAGGTAGCCGTAGTGCAGGTGGAGATAGGACCCTCGAAACCTGGGAGGGGAAAGTCAGACCACACCCCCCACCCCGTGGTGCCTTCAGTGAGACAGTCGGGAAAGGAGGCTGCACACCTGAGTTCTGCGTATTTCCCGGGTGAAGGACTGCGTCTCCACCCTTCTGGACCCTGGCTACCCGCCTTCCACTCGTCTAGATGGAGATTCTAGCCCATGTGCTGCCCACAGCTCCAGCCTCTCCCTGGTCTCCTGGGCCCGGGCAGCCCCACAAGCGGCAGTGTTGTGTAGAGGTCAGGAGGGCAGGCGCTGGAGCCACAGGCCAGGGTCAGATCCCAACCTCACCACGTACTTAGCCACTTGAGCTTGGACAAGTTACTTAACCTCATGGGACTGGACTTGGCTTAGTGCCTGGCTCCTGATGAGCCTTTAAGAAATATTGGATATTATTATGATGAGGACACACTGTTTCCTGTTCAGTTTAACAATAGTGGTCAGTGCTTACTGTGTGGGGGGAATCATGCTGGGCACTGAGCCTTTGAAGGTGAGACCCCAGGCCTGCCCTCAGAATGCTCACAGTCAACAACCCCGACGCCACGAGCGGCCTCTGTTCTTATTTTTGATCCAAGTTTCCCATTCCCATCCTCAGGTCGATCGGCCCAGCATCAGCAGGGAAATGACATAGGTGACAGCGGTGAAGATGTCCCACTTTTCACAGGCCAGTGGCAGCAAAGACAACCCCACCACAGCCTTCTTTCTGGTAATGCAAAGTCCCACAGGGATCAGGGGTCTGGATCCACCCCTCAGCAGCCTGAAATGGGCCTGTGACCTTGGACAAGACCCTTTCTTTCCTGTCCTCAGCCTTTCACCCGGAAACGGTCAGGTTGACTGGATCAGGTCTGGGGGATCTTCAGACACTCCTTTCTCACCCTATTTCCACCTCGGCCAGTCTCTCCTCCTGGGTATCACCCAGAATTCACATACATTCACTTCCGCAAACACATGTCAAGCAGCCACTGTAAACGGGACACCATCCTGGGCACAAATGCCGTGGATGACTCGGACTGCCTTTTATCAAAGAAAGCAAAGGACACACAGAATAAACCGCATTCTACAGGAACAGCCGTGTGACTGATGTCTGCTTGTTACCAAACTGGTTCTAAATCTTATCTCTTTCTCGATGACCCAGGCTTATGCCCGGGACCAGATTCTTATCATCGGGGTGTTTGCTTGGCCAACCACACAGTTTGCCTTTGAACATGACTATGCCCGGTTGGGTCTGCGTGTCTGTCTGCCTCTCTTGTTCTCTCACAGATGTCCTGGCTCCTGGCCTTAGACTGAGAGGGCTTTGCCGAGGGACCTGGAAGTTCAGAGACTGGGGTGCTGGGACCCGTTTCTGAGCCTGCCAGCGGGACCTCCTGCACAGCAACAGGCCTTTCCCGTGATGTGTCCACGGGCTCTCCTTGAGTCATTCCAAAAAAGCAGCTACTGGGCTCTGTCCTGTCACTCCAGGCCCATGTCCTCAGGGTCTGCGGGCCTCATCTGAGGTCTTGCACCCACACCATGCTGCAGTCACCGCAGAGACACCTGAGGGACAGGACCTGCGGCCAGCAGCCCGTCCTCGGTGTCTCTCGCAGCCTTCTCTCTCTGTCTCTCTGCAACGCCCACAAAGCCTGTCCCAGCGGCCGCTGGCTGTTTGACAAGGAGCTACCTCTCTGCTTTACAAACACACGCTCACGAGTCCTGCTAAAGCTTCGGGAACACGCAGCTAATCTTAGCTGCCTGTGCTGGCAGGAGACAGAAAGGGAAGGAAAGAGAGCGAGAGCTGTGTTCACCACGCCTGTCACTACACCTTGTCACCTGCGCCCAGCAGTTCTGAGAGAGCCTTGTTCTCACCCCTCTGACTCAGCCTCCTGTTGGGAACGCGTCTATCTTCCGGGAAATGATATGAAACACGGGAGAATTCCACTGTCTCGGTCAGAGCCAGAAAGGATGTTGAGATGCTGCAATTCTTCACTGCGGAGATTCTGGAGGGGATGATATGCAGCCTGCCTGATCTCGCCCCCAATCCCCTCTCTATTGTATGGCAACAGGGTAAAAAATCTGAAAACACAGATTCCACCCCCAAGTTTGGCGGCCATGACCAAGCATTCCCAGGCTCCCCAGCCATGGGGGCAGCTGGGAGGTTGGAGCCCATGTACTCCCTTGTCGGCGCCCACACCCTTGGAGGGAAAGCAGGCCACCTCCTGCTGCACGGATGGGTTCCCATGTTTGTTCTGTGGTCCCCGTGTGCCCCCCACACAGAGCTCCAAAGAAGCAAAACAGTCAACTCCTTTTCCTATCGGACGGATGTTATGAAGGGATCATGGAAAAGCATGCGACCAGAGAGAACTGTTCTCACTCCAGCTTGGCCTGAAACACCCGGCAACCTTGGGCCAGGCACGCCACCTCTGGGGCTGCTTCCTCCTATCTCGGCGAAGAAGCCGGAGCCCGCCGCTGACAGCAGTCCCTTCCAGCTCCGACGGGCTGCAGTTCTATGTGAGTCACCCTGCATTCTATGGCTTCCTGCTTTGGATGGAAGAAAAAGCTTTTAAACCGCTTAATAGTTTGAAGCATTTTATCCTCTGCTAGATTTCTTTAGGCAGTGGCATGCGGATGCCGGTCCAGTTTCCCATTTCTTTTCAAGCTGAATGATTGCCTTAGGTCAGCTGTTAACAAAATGGGGTCAGAGTCATCATTTCATTTCGCGAGCTTTCTAATTCTCCCAGCGAACCTCCAGGCTCCCCTCCCCTCTCATATAACGGGAGAACGAGGCCCTGAAGTGGTGAGGCCTGACTCCATCCTGGAAACATAATGGCCGTGTTTGTGGAAGTAGCTTAGATGTGAATTAACCTCCCCAAGCATGTGAACTGGTTCAACAGCCTTGACTGTGATTTGGGCTTCGTGCTCAAATCCTAATGAGCAGCTCTCCTCGGTGCTGGAAAGAGCAAGTGCTTTACTCTTTTACAAGTTGGCCCAAAAGGAAGAATGCAAAAAAGAGAGATCTGGAGCTGTCTTGCTGTCCAGACTGTGACCTCCAGAAGGACAGGGGCTGGGCTGGAGCCTGTGGGTTGTCACCACTCCTCAAGGACCTGGATGGGAATGGGCAGGGTCTTTGGTTTTGCTGAAAGATGTCTTCTGTTGAATGACGCAGGCCCTCTGCAGGTTCAGGCTAGCTGCTTCCACCCGCCATCACCTCCCTGTGCAGAGCCATGGCATCCCCGTGTGGAAAACAAGGCATTGGTTAGGACGGTCTTCAGGAAAGCCGTCCAAGTAGCCCTCTCCACTCCCCATTTTCTCCTGAAAGGTGTGGTCTTCTGTCCTTCCGCCTTCTGGTGTTGATTTCTGTCTCTGGTGTGCCCCTCACAGGTGACAGGCGTCTCCGGACCGTGACTTCCTGCACACACTTCCTCTCACCCACCCCGTGGGAGCCAGCCTGAGAGTCTCCGGCCCGCTGCCAGCACAGTGCCTGGCCTGTGGTTAAATGCTCGGTGGACATCTGTCAAATAAAAGTAACTCAAAAGGATCTGAGTAAAACAATGTGAATCAGGGCATTTGTGAACACTGAGCTCGTCAGCACCAGGAGGTAGCTCCCGAATCGTGGTGTCTGGACCACATGATAACGGACAACTTCTCCCTGCCCCGCCCCCACATAAACACAATCTCCCAGCAGCCGCACCAGGGCCCCATGCTCCCAACCTCACTTTGAACTGTCCCAGCCCTCGCTCTCTGTTGGTATCATTCCCATTGTTGGGGATGCCTCCCTCACATATGCCTTCCCCTGCTGAAATTCTATCCGTCCTTCAAGGCCTCACTCAATGCCACCTCCTCTATATAGCCTCAGACTGACTCTCTGTGAGCCCAAATGTCAGAATTTTTTTTCTCTCTTCTGCCCTCTCAGCAGACTGACCATGATATTGTATTTTATTTAGGTCCTACACCAGCCCTTGCAATAATGTCATTGTCAGTGCACATCTCTGTCCAGCCCTGCCCTGCCCTGCCCACCCCTTGCTGTGTATCTCTGGGTCTCTCCTGAGGGCCCCAACACACCCTTGCACACCGTGAATGTTTATGAAAGGTGCCCATTGAGGTGGCCAAGGCTTCGATGCTCCCAGGGGCATCACTTGCATTAGCAAAGCTGCTGAAAGTCTCAGAGCTGGCTGGTGGGAATCATCTGTCAGGGCGAGCAGCGGCATGGGCAGGGCCGGCAGCAAGGCCCTGGGCTGAGGGGCGGGCCCCTCCTTACTTGGCGTAGGCTTTCTCCAGCAGGCAGGGCCAAAACTCCTGGCTGTTGCTGCAAGGATGCACAAAGAGGTACTCGTTGTTCAGGACAGGCAGGCGATCGTCCACCACCACTTCCACCCACTGGCCACACTGCCAGAACTGGAAGAGAGTTCAACATATGGCTCAGTAGAGGTAGGGCAGGAGGGAGCTCCTGGGCCCTCAGCCTGGGCCAGGAGATAACTCCCATCACCACGTGACCTCCACGGGGCAAAAACGGACTCTGTGCAGAACAAGTCTCAGCCCATATTGACGGACAGGGGTGGGCATGTCATCGCCGCTGGTAGATGGACAAAATGAGTCACAGACCAAGTTAGATGAGGAAAACACAAGCAGAGAGGGATACTTAAGGTTCTAGTTCGACTTTGCTACTAACTCTGGCCTTGCTTCAGCAGGTCCTTGGTGAGCTCCGAACATGAGACCCTCCAGGTATAGCCAGGTACAAAAAAACAGTAGGGGAAGCAGATGGCGGAGTGAGAAAGGAGGATGGTAGATCAGCCGCTGTCCTGGGGAAGGAGAGCCTCCAGGGAACAGAAGGTTTGGGAGAGCAGGCGGGGTTTGAGCAGGCGGAGAAGAGGTGGGGACGGCGTCCCCGATGGAGGGGACAGCGCGGGCAAAGGGCCGGAGGCCGAGTGATGAGGAGGGCGCAGGAGTGAGCAGTGACAGCCTCGCCCCGGCCCCGCGGTCAGAGCGGCAGAAATGAAACTGGCGGGCATTGCTGCTGGGAGCATGAAGGCAGCAGATGTTCCTTTCCAAAACAGCCTGTTTTAATCTTCAGCATTCAGCTCCTAATGGTTCACCCAGGACATCGGCAAATGAGGAAAATTCATAATAAAGCCCGCCTCTTAGAGTTTCTTCTCTGGTCTCCCCTGTGCTGGATAAGCAGCAGGGCTTCTGGCCTCAGGCCTGAGCCTTGATGAAGGCAAGTCCCCAACAGGTGGGCTCGACGTAAAGCTGGGTGGATGCGATCGATCATCTGCTCGGCAGTGACAGGAAGCCGTCCACGTGCCATTCCACAGCTGGATGTTCCAGATGCCTGGTTGTTGCACCCAGCTGAGGATGCACTTGCAAAGCAGAGATGGAGACCCAGACAGAGATGTCAGTGGAGACAAAGCAAAGAAGATGTTTCAGAGTCACTAATGAACCTGTGCACTGCAGCTGGTTCAGGCACAGCTGTGAATTCGAGTCCCTATTGCAATAAGATGCATCAGCGGGTGAGGTTGGGAGCCAACAGGAATGTTATTAGAGGGAAATCATGAAAACATGGATGAAACGCCAAGGAAACTAATCCCAGCTTCTGGAGGGAGGCAGTAGAAGGATAGCTGAGTCTGGATTTGTGTTTAATGGGAAAGCAAAGTGTGGTAGTAGACAGTATCCAGTCAGTGGAATTGTGCTTGAGTCCTGGTTTTGTCTTTTATTGTCTGAGCAACAGACATTGGGTAAGACACTTGATTTTCTGTGACTCGGTTTCCTCATCTGTCAAATGGAGATAAGAGTAAGAACTGCATCACAGGGCTATGATTTGGATCAGATGAGATTCCCAATGAGATCACAGTTTTGAAAGCATTATGCTAAGCGAAATAAGCCAGGCAGTGAAAGACAAATACCATATGATCTCACCTTTAACAGGAACCTAAACAACAAAACAAACAAACAAGCAAAATAGAACCAAAGACACTGAAATAGAGAACAGGCTGACAGTGACCAGAGGGGAGAGGGGAGGGAATTTCAGGGGAAAAGGGGAAGGGTTTACAGGAACAAGTATAAAAGATACATGGACAAAAACTAGGGAGGGTGTGGAAATGGGAAGGAGGTGGGGAGGGCTGGGAGGGTGGGCTGGAATGGGAGTAAAAGACAGAAAACTGTACTTGAACAACAATTAAAAAAAAAAAGAAAGTGAAAACTGTTTTTCACAGCCTTTTCGTTCAGCACCTAGGACAGTGCCTGGGGGCACAGCAGGTCATCCAGAATGAGCAAGTCCTGGCTTGAATGAGCTCCTCTGTCTGCTTCCCTTTTATAAGTCACCCTTTCCCCACCTTCCCACACTGGCAATGTTGACTGAATTTGTTCTCTCCATACAAAGGGAACATCAGATATGACCACAGTTCCCAGAGAGGACGCAAATGGCCTGACTGATGATCAAAAATGAAGCTACGGACCTGCATTTCACCTTTCTGGGTGCGGACAGCTGGCACCAGGATGATGTCTGTATCCTCCAAGAAGCATTATGCTAAGCGAAACAAGCCAGGCAGTGAAAGACAAATACCATATGATCTCACCTTTAACAGGAACCTAAACAATAAAACAAAGAAACAAGCAAAATAGAACCAAAGTCACTGAAATAGAGGACAGGCTGACAGTGACCACAGGGGAGAGAAGAGGGAATTTCAAGGGACAATGGGAAGGGTTTACGGGAACAAATTTAAAGGACACATGGACAAAAACTAGGGGGAGGGTGGTAATGGGAGGGAAGTGGGGAGGGTTGGGTGGGTGGGCTGGATTGGGAGTAAAAGGAAGAAAACTGTACTTGAACAATGATTAAAATAAAATAGAAAAAAAAGAAGCACACTGCTGCCATTCTGCCCACACCCAAGTGTCTCAGGGAGGCCAACAGTGTTTGGCAAAGCATCTAACTGTCCAGGCACTGGGCCCTTTCCAAGGAGCAGCGCCCAAGCTCCGAGGGGTGAGAAGAGATGTACAGAGGTCGGCACTGCAGCTGTTTCTGGGCAACTGTGGGACTTTCGTCAACATCCAGAGGGCAGAGTGTGTCCTGCCTGTCCTTACTTCCTGTCACTCAGCCAGCACTTGCAGCCCCAAGGCAGCTCAGACACAACCGAACCTTGCATCTTCTAGCTCATTCCTCAGTGTAGTTCCTTGGACCAGCAACATCAGCATCACCTGGGCACCATTAGAAGACCCAGTATGCAAATCGCTGGGTTTCAGGAAGAGAACAGGATAAAGGATGATGCCCAGAAATCATGGAGGGAAATTTAGCTGAGCAGAACAAAGGGAGCAGTTCTTCAGAATGGAAGGACTTGCTGAATCTGGGCAAGATTAATTTAAAAAAAGGCACAACCTGGATATATTCCAGAGAAATTTCTGAACACCAAGGAGAGAAAGAGCCTCTTACAAACTTGTAGTTTGAAAGAACCAGCTACCTACAAAGTAAGAGCACAGATTAGCATTGGGTTTTTCTTCTACAACATCAGACAATGGAATAATATTTACAGACTCTGGAGGAAAGGGGATGTGATCCAAGAATCCTAAACCCAACTGAAGTATCATTCTTCAGAAAGAGCAAATGAAAAACACCCATGTAATCTGAGGAAATTATCCAAGGAACTACTCCTACCTAATGAGGCTGAAGTTAGAACAAAAGTCTTCAGATAAGGGGAAATGAAGGGTGAAAGAAACAATGGTGAGCAATAAGTTTTTAATATGCTTGTATAAGAAACACCCAGTAGTGAAAATGGAATTGATAACGAAGGCCTGAGCAAAGATATAACAAGGAAATGTATATAGCAAGAGGTTGGAATAGCAATATGAATTTATGATAAAGAGGAATTCAAGGCCCAAAGCATTGCATGTAACAAAGGGGAATATATTTGTAACCTTTATTCCAATAACCAGGTACCAAGAACATAAACCAATGAAAAATATAAAGCCAGGAAATATATAGCAGGGAAAATATAAAGCCAGATCATCTGACAGCCTAAGAGGAACCCTCCACACTCTAACTTTGGGGAAGAACTTCAATTTACCTCTTTTAGAATTTGACAAATCACACAGACAAAAAATAAGCCAAGATAAAGATGATTGCAGATAATACAACCAGTAAATTAGAAAGCAAGATTCCATATATAAAACTCATGACCTTTGGAGAATATATATTCTTCTAGTATGTCCATGAAACATTTACAAAGACTGTGGTGGACTTGGTCATAAATAAAACTTTAATAATTTCCCTTTAACATAAAGATTTTATGAATTATATTTTCTGATCATAATCTAATACATCTAAAACTTTAACAACCAAAAGATTACCCAATATATAACTTAATCAAAACTAAAAATATGTTACTTTAAAATTAATGAAAGTCAGATATTTTATATCAAAACTTATAGATACAAGTAAGGTCTGAGGAAATTCTATAGTCATAAAGCTTTTCTAATTAAAAAGCCTAAAATATTAAGTGTGAAGATTCAGAAAACTTACAAAACAATAAAATTAACCAAGATAAAATAAAAAGGATTCATGAAAATAAATTAAAAGTAATTATATAAAAATATAAGCCCCAAGAGAAAAATAATAGAAAGAATAATAAAAGCTAAAAGGTAATTTGTTAAAAAATTAATGCAACAGATTGGTTGAATTAAGAAAAAAAGGAAAAATAAAAAATATAGCATTGGGATTGATAAAGTCAATTTAACCACTGATTAGAAGAAATACATATTAAGAAAATCATACAAGCAACATTTTGCCAGTAAATTTGGAATATAGAAAGAACAGTTGGTTTTCCTGAAAAACACATGAATTTCAAAAATTAACTCCAGAAGAAATAAGAGACCCAAGTGGATCAGTTGTTACTGAACACGGTGGAAGAGTTAAAGAAATAACATTTAAATAGGAAGCAGATCAGGATAATTCAACTATCATCCATTTTCCTTTCAAAGAAAAGATAACTGATATCAGCGCCATTATTCAAACGATTTCAGATCCAAGTATGCAAAGCTCAGTAGGTTTCCTTTAAAAAGTTAGCCCTCAAACATGACAAGTAATCAGACTCGTATTATACATATAATATGGATGCAATAATTCTAATCAAATTTTTAACAAATGAAATCCAATAGTGTCTTAAAGAACAGAGTACTACTCTGACTGGTGTGGCTAAGTGGGTTGGGTGTCTTCCCACAAGGCGAAGGGCACCAGTTCGATTCCCAGCTGAGGCACATACCAGGATTGTGGGCCAGATCCCCAGTTGGGGGGCGTGTGAGAGGTAACCAGTCAATGTTTTTCTTACACGTCGATGTTTCTCTCCCTCTTTTTTAAATGCTATTACAGTTGTCCCAGTATTTCCCCTGTTGGCCCCCTCCACCCAGCACCTCTGCTCCCTCAGGCGATCCCCACACCACTGTTCATGTCCATGGGTCATGTGTATGAGTTCTTTGGCCAATCCATTTCCTATACTGTACTCTCCCTCTTTTTCCCACTCCCTTCCCCAATTTACTCAAAATAAATGAATAAAATCTTGATAAAAGTAAAGAATGGAGTACCAGGAAAATACAGTACTAAAATCCAGAGAAAGCAGGATTTTGCTCTTGTCACTCTTATTCAAAATTGTGAGGTTCTAACCAATGGGATAAAGCAAAAGAGCGGGTAAGTTCTATAAATATTAAGCAACAAATTATCCTTATTTGCAGATAATATTTGATATTTTAAAAATCCAGACTCTACTAAAGAAAAAAAATAGAACAAATAAAGGAATTTGGTATGATGGCTAGATACATTCCAGTATATAACAAGGAGTGGGTTTTTCTCTTTTCAGTAATATCTCGTTAGAAATGAGGGGGAAAATCTCATCCACGCAAACTACAAAACTGTACAATACTTGAGACTACCTTTACCAAGAAGGGTACGGCTCCAGTGTGAAAACATCACCATAACATTTTATTGGAGGGCATAAAACTAGGGCTGGATAAATGGAAAGACGGACCCTGTTTCTGGAAAGAATCATTAACATAATAAAAGTATAATTTTCCCAAATTAATGCTTAAACTTAATGCTGCTCCACTCTGCCTCACAATGGCTTTTCTTTCTTAATTAGACACAATGATTTTAAAATTCTCATAGAATAAATGGGCAAGAATTACCATGATACTTTGAGAAAAGAATAATGAAGAGTGAAGCCGAAATTATCCTACCAGATGTTACAACGCACTCAAGCTCCTGTAATCAAAATAACAAGATATGGCGTAAGAACAGACATAGACAAAAGCTCAATGATGTTCCGATGACTTTTTTTTTCCTGACTGTTTCTGTCATTCAAAAGAAATTTACATGGGAACATTTTAGCTCTCATGTTTCCCATGAAAGATGGGAAGGTCGTGAGCTCGGATCCCCTTCTGGAGCCACTCAGTGTGACGGACACGTAGGTGTCTCTTCCACATCCAGACAGGTGCCGCCCGCCCTGCACACAGAGAAAACCGCCCAGAGCACCCCCGCAGCACACGTACCCAGAAGCGGAAAATGCCTGCATACTGCTGGGAGAAGCTTTGGTTCTTCAGGATCTTCTGCAGATGCTTTTTGCTCTGTGTCAAGGAGCCCAGCGCCGTCAGGAACCAGCAGTCTCCTGTGAGGGGACACAGCCACGGGTGAGAGGCCCAGGGCACAGATGGGAGGCCCCACCCCGGGCATTTCTCAGGTCTTTGGACTAGCGGCCACATACATCCTTCTGAATAATGCATTTTTTTCCACCTAAGAACTGAAGGAAGGATTCACAGGGGCCAGTCCTAAGCAAGACACAGGAGGGGTGGATGGTGAGTGTGGGTGACAGATGGCGGTTTGAAGGAGGTCAGGGCACCCCAGCCAGGCTGCAGAAGGGCTGGTGTGCCAGCGTGCCCTCTGATTCCCATGTGCCAGCAGTGCCCAGAGCTAAAGTCACAGCATCTCTAATTGTCAGCTTTGGTGGCAACAGTGCTCTCTACAATTTCAGAAAACAGATTTGTGCTTTCTTTGCTAGTACTTGCCCAGCCCCTACCTGTGTTCGGACCCCTCTAGCCCACATGGGGGTTCTCTCCTCTTCCCCCTGGAGGGACACAGGGCCTTGAGTTTCTCCTTGGATGTCATGGGGAGCCCTCTGAGCACGAGCATCATCCCCTTCAGAGTCTTCCCCCCCTCATCTTCAACACAGCCAATTATTTGAATGGCATTTCCCGTCAGGTACTGTGATGTGTGCAGACGCCACAGAGACAGCCTCAGAGAGGGCCTGTCCTGTGTGCATTTAGGCGAAGCTCCACATAGGAGGACTGTTGGCTGCTGGGGGTTCCCCCCAACACTGATAACAAGCCCCGGAGGCTTCTATCAGCATGGCCCAAGACACCATGATTCCATCAGGTGAAGTCCAAGTGCAGGCATAACTTGTAAGCTGACATTTTAAAGATATAGAGTCTGTTCTCTGAGGAGTCGCTGTCTGATTTTGCTTTCTCTTAACTCCCTGGCCATTTTCCCCTCCCAGCCCGCCCCGCCCCTCCGCTCCTGGTCTTCTCGCTCAGGGGTTTCTCTTGGTCGTTCCTGATACTGCCCATGGGCCTCCTGCAAGGCCAGCCCTCTTCTCCCCTGCCCACACTGCCCAGCTCTAAGCAACACCTTTGCCCCATGGCTGTCTGGCGGGTGGGAGAGAGTCAAACAGCCCTAGATTCAAACCCAACTCAGCCACTCACTACTTATGTGACATAAAGGAAATTACTTAACTTCTTGGACCCTTTGTGTCTGTACATTTAGGGGACACTACAAGGCACAAAGGAACTAGCACATGCAAAGTATCTAGCAGCAGAGTCATTGCAGGGACTCAATGAATATTTGTTTTTAAAAATTTTTTAAAGGTCTTATTTATTCATTCTTAGAGAGGGGAAAGAAGGTAGAAAAAGGGAGAGAAATGTCAATGTGCAAGAGATACGTTGATTGGTTGCTTCTTGTACACCCCCAGCTGGGGACCAGGCCTGAAACCCAGGCATGTGCCGGGACTGGGAATCAAACTGGTGACCTTTTGGTTCCCAGGCCAGCACTCAAGCCACGGGGTCACACCAGCCAGGGCCCAGTGAATGTTTGCTTCCCCTTTCTTGGTCTCTCTTTCTTCTCTGTATCCCAGTGCTTCTCTCTACTCGGTGCTCAGACGGAACCCTGGGTCCATTTTCTCACTGTCTTCGATCACGCTTCACCCCAAATGGCTCTGCACACACAGGGCTGAGCCAACTCACAAGCTGCAGACCTGGGCACGAGCAGTACGTCCACAGCAGCGCTGAGGGGGCTGGCCTCGCCCTCTCAGCAGCTGGGGCAGAACTCTGAGGGTCTGGGTGGGCACTGCCCTCCACCCCTTCCTATCCCGGAGGCTGACTTGGAGCAGCCCGCCCTGATGCACAGCCAGAAGGGAAGAGGTTGCGTTCTTACCTGCATATCCTTGTTTGATGTCAAATCTGCTCACACCTTCCAGGATGAAGTGAGGCTCTGATTTACCCCTTGATAAATCCTTAGGAAACAGGGAGAAAGGCCATGAGCATCTTTCATTCCTCTGTGCCCAGAGCGGTACCCAAGACATCACTCACTTTGTCTTTGAGAAGTGGAGATTAATTCTTAAATAGGTGCTTAAAAGTTCCCCTCATTCTTCAGGTTTTATTGCTATCAGGAAGGTGAATGTCAAAGGGGTATACATGTAACCGATGAGACAAGCAATAAATTCATAAGTAAATTCCATGAAGAGATAACATCAGATCTCAGATATTCAGCCATCCTGGTCCTAACAAGCAGTGTTTTATTAAAAGGTTATAAACAAGAAGAGAAAAGAGGCAGATACATTTAGCAGAAGAAATCTCTTATAAACATAATAAAGCTTTCCTGTGGGATGCCATCTCTTAGAAGTCAGCGTAGGCCTTCTGGGCTCCAGGTTCAAGTCCAGCCTCGTGCTGTACAGGGTACAGGATGTGCATGACTCGGATCTTTGTCGGCTCCCTGGCCAGCTCACAGACTGATTCTGGAGGACGCCAGGCCCCTCATCTCTGGGGCTGTTATTCAGTGCCCCTTCTCCCCCAACCTTCAACACACACAGTGTCTGCTGGCTGCAGGAAGGGATTGTTAGAGAACTCCGAAGTGCTGAAAAGTTGGGGAGAATTTTGGGAACTCACAGCAGACATGATGATGGTGAGAGTTCCTCAGGGGGCTCCCCAGTCCCTTTTGGGGGAACAGTGGGCCAAAGGCCTGGCTCCTGCCCCAGACCCTACCCTCTAGGTCTGCCCCCTACTGGGAGCCCTCGGGATTATCCTCAGCATCCTCTCTGTACGGCTCTTGCTGGATTTTCCCCTGCATTTGTTTGCAGAATTTGGTAACTGTGCCTGTATCATTTCTTTTCACCTTGACAAATAAGTCCCCAGAGAGCAGGGCTGCAACGTGGAAACAGATTCATGTGCTCAACAGCCATGAGTGTACAGAGTCACGTGTACCAGAATACCTGCCAGCCCTTTGTAAACTACCAGCTTCCTGGTGGAGCCTCCAAGGGGGAAGCAAAGGTGTGCATGTCTGCAAACAGGGATGCCCAGCTGGTGTGTGAGGGGTAATCACCGGTGCACCTCTCTCCACAAATAGCCAGCCCTCTCAGACGGCCCAAGAGGTACACATGGGCCCAGGCCCTGGAGCGGAGGCACCAAGCCCAGCCCTCTGCTGTCCCCATCGCTGGGCAGAACTTGGGGTCTCTCCTAACTCTGCAGACCCCCGGAGAGAGCAACTCTCCTAGCTTCAAAACAACTTGGGGCACTTCAATGACTTTAACTGTCCCTTCCCCTTCGACTGGAGAAAGTGAAAGTCCCAAGGAGGCCTGCTGTCAGGGAGCAGATGCTTAGACATCCCGCTGGAGGGAATAAAAGAAGAGGGTGGAGGCCATGGGGTTATTGGACCAGGAACAAGGTCAACATCATTCAGCTTCCCTGACTCACCCCCAGCGCAATTCTTCTTCCCTGTTTTTTCCTGGTCCTCCCCAGGGATTAGCAGAGGAGGGGTGTGTGTGAGTGCAAGAGTCAATCCAGACAGGACAGGCTGGTGTGGAATCCTGCTCTGCACTGTTCCTGGGGGACCCTGAGCCACTTCATTTCCTTCGCCGAGCCTCCGTTTCCTTGCCTGTACACTGGGGGGCCCCAATAGTGAAGCGGTTGAGGCACTGGCTGTCGGTACGAAACCCTCACTCGGGGCTTTATTCACCGACTGCCTCCCAGCAGCCTGGCCGGGCAGGAGCCCTTCCGTCTCACAAATGAGGAAGGATGTAAAATACTTAGCACAGCATCGGGTAGGGTGTGGGGTCGATAAATATTGATTCCCTCCTTCTGCAGTATTTGCGAAATTAAAAAAGCCATATTCATAGACAAACCCAGAACCTCAAATCTATTCATTATTAAACAACACAGAATAAAAACATGAATAAAGTAGTTGACTCATAGATGTTAGGCAGGAAAAGGCCAAAAAAAAAGAGCCTGGCAAGTAGAGGAGAAAAGACGTGATAAAAGAACATAATTAGTGAGTTATAAAATAGAAAAACAACACAATCAATAAAGCAAGGAAATCGTTCCATTTGGAGGAGAAGGCTTACACAGAGCCTACCTTTGGCAAATGTAGTAGAGAACCCCAAATAATAGTAGAAGTAAAAATAAGGCTTTAGCAATATAAAAACATGACGTTAGATTCTATACTAATCAAAGTGCTAATGATTTTCTGGTGAAAATTAACATCGCCCCAAGTCATTCAAGTTAGTACATAACCTGAAAAGATCAATAATCTTGGAACAGTGTTTAAAAACGATCGAAGGACATCTCCCTAATATCTCTGTAAAGGCTTCTAAGTAGACATGGTTTTCCTGCTGAGTTGTCTGGAACTTTCAGGAAACAGACAATTTAAGTGTCACTTATAGTTTCAGTGTTAAACAAAAGAAAGAAAGAAAGAAAGAAGAATCCTGCCATCATTTATTCCAAGAAGCCAGCATTGCCTGGGGGCGCAACCCGAGAGTGAGAAAACACAAACGCACATGCACTCTGCAAATTGATTTCGATGATGGAAACACACTGAAATAAACGAATCTACAATAAATGACAAAACGAACACACTGTCAAGCAGGGCCTCCCACAGAAACCCAGCAGGCTGGGATGGTTTCGTACCAGGATATCTAATAATAGAAAATAGCATTTCCATGGGCCAAAGAGGAGACGAAAGGCAAATGAAAAATGCACAACTTTCTCTAATTCACCCAAGTAATACAAATTAAGGTGAAAAACACCAAAATATTAGCTAATTAGGAGCAGGAAGATTTTATGAAAATTCAATGGCAATTATTGCAAATCAAAAGTCGGTTGTAGCATCAAACAAGGTGAGGCACAAAACCAGCATCGAAGCCCCCTGTTCTTTGAGCTCCTTCCCCACCCCAGGGCTTTCATGGGGGTGCTGGAGGGTCTCCAAGGTAGATGGAATTATACTCAGAAGCACTTCATCTGCTGGGCCGACTTCCTGAGACAAGGCCCACAGGGAAAATAGGTAAATATGGCTGGGAAGACAGTAACGCTCTGCTTCCAGGCAGTTCCCTTGTCGCCAGGCGGGGCAGGAGCCCCAGCTCAGTGAAGGCACTCGCACAGGGCAGAGTGCCCACCCGGAGTGGGGCTTGCATCATGAGGAGCTTTGCAGCCATGGAGCTTGCTGGCTTCCACCTCCCACCACTTGGATTCAGCAGGTCACCCAGAGGGAGAGCTCAGGATTTGCGCAAGCCCCTCGGATGACTCCAAGGTGCAGCACGGGTGAGAGAGCAGGGTCAGAGGAGCAGAGACGTGTTCCAGGTCCCACAGGAAGCAGGCGGGAGCGGGGCCATATGCCTCCGTGGCGCCCGCTCTTCCCCACTGGGCAGGCCAGCAGGGAGGGGCCTCTGCCCCTCCATGTTTTCTGATTCCACGAGACAAGGAAACTGCGATGGTTGATTTCATAGTCCAGTGAACTGGGCCACAGGGTGCCCAGAAGTTTGGCCAAACACTACTTCTAGGTGAATCTGCCAGAGTGTTGTTTCCAGATGACATCAGCATTTGAATCGGTGGACTCAGCAAAGCAATTGTCCTCCCCGGTGTGGATGAGCCTCATCGAATCGGAAGAACAAAATAGAACAGAAGGTAGAGGAAGGGAGAATTCTTCCTTCTATGACTGACTGCTGACTGGGACAGAGGCCTTCTCCTGCCCTCAGACTGGGAATCACACCATCTGCTCCCCTGGCTCTCAGGCTAAACCACACCACTGGCTTTCCTGGGTCTCCAGCTTGCAGATGGCAGACTGTGGGGCTTCTCGGCTGCCATGACCACATGAGCCAATTCCTCACAGTACATGCATCAACAGGATGTATTGATATGTTTCCTATTACTTACATGCTGTAAAGTACATATACCTCCTATTGGCTCTGTTTCTCTGGAGAAGCCTAACTAACACAGAAGCCATCAGCAATACTCAAACTAAATAATCTCAGGAACTTAGTTCTGAATCATGGAGCTCTTTCTCAATGCCAGGTTTGGAGCAATCTCTGTTGTATTAGATATGCCAGAAATTCACATAACGCAAGAGCCCCTGGAATCTTAGAACTACGCACTGTGAAGGGGCACCAAAGCCAGCGCTCAGCCACGCTGACTTTGGAGGGGTCTCTCCCGACATGACATCACTGGGTCTAACTCAGCAGTGATTCTGCGTTCCTTTCAAAGGATGCTCCTGCTCTTCCCCAGACACGTGCTGCTCTTGCACGAGGGAAGGCCAGGTTTGGCACCAGCAGCTGGGCACAGGCCCTTTCAGAGGGTGGCCAGAGTTCAGGCCGGGCCAGGGGCCGGCGTCACTCCCTGTCTTAATTTTACTACAGAGGCTGGCTTTATTGGCATCAAAGTTCTTTGGCTCAACAGCAACTGGCCGTTGGCATCTTTACTTTCTGAAACCTTCTGTTACTTGTTGCTTTCACAGTCTATACTATCTCTAGTTTGTTAGCACTTTCCTTTTCTGAAGAACTCATTTAGGCCGCCTGAATCATTTCTAGTGAATGATCCTTTCAGGAAGTCTGTTCTGGCTACTGGGGAGAACCAGTTGCCTGGGTCGGCTATGCTTCATTCCGGGATGGCCGTGGGCCAGCGTCCGCAATGGGGCTGGGTGCGGAGCTCCGAACACCCATCCCACCATATGGTTGGGGCTCATAGCTCCCTTTTCTTCAGTGGAAAAGTGAAATGTTTTTTACTAAAGAATGAGGACAAGAATGAAATTTTAGTATCTCAGTCTGGCATCCATTGGTGATCCTGCTGTGCTCTCCGATATGGTCGCCACAAGCCATAGTAAATTAAATTAATTAACATTGAATGAAATTAAAACTTCAGACCCTCAGTCACACTATCCACATTCCAAGCGTTCAATGGCCACGTGTGACTAGTGGCTACTATTACTGAACAGTGCAGAGAGAGACTTTCCATCATCCCACAAAGTCTGTTGGATAGTGCTGATGTACTGAAGGGGGGTAATAATACTACCTACCTTGCAGGACTGCTAGGGCAATGAAACGAAACGTTATATGTAAAGTGCTTAGATTAGCACCTAGCATGTGTACACGCTTGATGAATGGATTTATTATTATCCTCCATGAAATAAAAGGAACAAAGGAGACAGAGTAAAAGACACGTGGAAAGTTCTAGAAAGAACTACACAAACGTCAGTCCTGCCAGCTGTGATAAGGGACACAAAGATCTATGACATGTCCACAAAGACATTTTAGAAGCAGCGTGGGCATGAAAGATGACACCCTGGCAGAACGGGAGTGGGAACGGACTGCATCTGACCCCTGGCGCCTCGAGTGTTTCGGGCTCCTGGCACGATTCCGTGTCAGTCACTTCTCGTCTGTTTGCCTCGGTTTCTCCTTGACCCCCAGAGACTCCACAAGTTGAGGTGCTGCTGGAATTAAGATGAGAAACTCTCAACCCTTTCTAAATAAATGTTATAAATTCTTAAACACTATAAATATAGTCTCACATTTATTGCCTAGCACCTTATAAAAAAACAAACTTTCAAAAAGAATCTCAGCCTCTGAAAATACTCAAGGGGAAACATTTATATGTGTATTAGGTACCCCTTCCAGACTTTGAATAGAGTTCTCTGTTCAGCTGTCCTTAGGAGGCGAAGGCCAGAAGAAGACAGCCATTTTGGGGACCCGTTACCTGTGGCTGGTAAGATGGATCCTAGAATGTTGAAGCACCCCATCTTTCTTTAAGCAGCACCCAAGCCCCACCTGATCCCTGCCAACCTTCCACTTCCCCAAGGCTACAAATCCACCCTGAGTTAGGGCAAGAGTTGGCACTTCTACACTATGTCATCAGAAAATGCCTTTTCTGTATTACCTAACTTGATGTTATTGAAAGTGCAGTAGAATGCTTGGCATTTAATGTGTGCTGATATTATAGTGTCTAGGAAGCTAACAATGATATTATTTGCTCTTGTTTTAGGTTCTGCTGGCTGCATTTGGAAGCATGAAGAGAAGGTTTGGGTATCAGGGTGCTCAAAATGGTCCTCACCTGGGTATCTCTCATCAACAGCAGCTCTGATGAGATTATGAAGTGTTAAGTGGGCTGAGAAATGGCTTCTGGAGCTTCATGCCCTGACAGTGAGATGGTTTTAGAAAAACCAGCAGAGCTCACCTCGCTGCAAGGTGGAGTTAGTGGTCATCTGCTGGGGTGGGGGGTTCAATGGGATTTGAATGTTGCCCTGAAATATCTGCCTAATTTTACAGCTGATGTGTAAAGTGGAACCTTTGCAAGATTGAAAATACAAACAAAAGTGAGAGAGGTGAGGCAATAATTTAAATTCATCCTAATGCATAAGTATCTGACATGGCATCTTCCTTTTGAGGACATTCTAACAGAAAAAAAGGAAAAGATGGTGATACCTGGAGGGAATAAAGAGGGATGGTAGATGGTCTCAATTACAGAGACGGAAGAGAAGCCAGAGACCAGCTCACACATATGTCTTCCCATTTTCAGATGGGGATACTGAGGCACAGAATCTAGTGATGTGCTCAGTGTTAGAACTGGGTTAGAACTCACGGGTCCTGGGTCCAGGTACAGGGTCTTTCTATCCCTCTGAGGATGCAACACTGTAGCCCAGGGACCAGATGAATTTCACTCTCCTTCCAGTTTGGTTTGGGCCACCCCTGAAAACCGGGTCTCAGGCCCATCCTTCCTTCAGTGGGAGGGGCCACGATAGGTGCCCCAGAGGGCCCAGGTGCTGAGTTGGTGCCTGGGGGAGGGCTCACTCACCTTGGGCCGCTTCCACCTCAGGCTGGAGAGGTCCTTTCCCTTGAGCATCTCCAAACCGATGGAAGAAATCTCGGCAGGGAATGTCTCATCCTCAAACAGCAGACCTCTGCTGAGGCAACGGTTCCACAGGTAGTTGAAGTCCTGGCCCTTGAACTTGATGATGGGGGTCTTGGACAGAGGCTCCTGGTTGTGTGCCATGACTTCCTTAGAAGATCTCCGATGTCTTTTCCTTTTAGGGAGAAAAAAAGATATCTTTAGGGATGAGCCATCAAGTCCTTCGCATCATTGGATGTGAACACTGAGGGGGCACTCAGATGCCCCTGCCCCTTGACAAGTGAGGGGACTGAGACCCAGATCAGCTGGCTAGTGACACAACCGGTTGGTAGGTGAGCCCAGATGTGAATTCAGCCATCCTTCCTCTCAGTTCAATTTTCAACCCACTGTACCCGACAGCTTCTCAGTAAGCTCTCTGGGCACCAGAGACCATGGGGGTATTTGTACACTAATGAATATTTATTCAGTGCTGACCTTGTGCCAGGCGCTTCATGAATCCTGGCAATCCAAAGGTAAATACGACACGATTTTTATCCTCTGGGGTTTCATTATCAAGTGGGAAAGTTGGATTAGACATTTCAACAACACCATTCAACCTTCCATCACTGAACAGAAACTGTGTAATTAAAAATGTGTACAAAGTCCTGTTGACATAAAGGAGCTACGAACGGCCATGGGGAGTCTGGGATGATGTTCCCACAGGAAGTGACCTTTGAATTGGGCATGGAAGAAAGGAGAATTTGCCAGGTGGAAAAATGGTGGATATTAAAAAAAAAAGTCCCTCCAGATGCCCTGAGTAGTGAGTGCAAGAAGGCTCGGGAGTTGGATTGGAAAGGTCACGGGTGCTAGAGGACATGGGAGGGCTCAGAGGGGCCGGTGGGGTGGGGGCTGGGGGCAAGGGTTGTTGGCAGAGATGGCCAGGAAGGTAGGTGGGTATTGGTACACGTAGACCCACAGAAAGTTTCTGGGATGGAAAATCTGCATCTGTAAGCAGAGAGCAGGGAAAGATGGAAGAAGGAGGCTGGCTACGCCAGTCTGGTATTAATAGTTGTTTATTAAGGGAAAGTTACGGAGGCATGTCTTGGGTGGCTGCAAGGCAAGGTGGACCCCTGTGTCATTTGGCAGGTACCAAAGTATTACACAGGGTAAAGGGAGGTAGTCACAGCACTAGTGTGGGGTTGCTACCAGCTTCAAGCAATCACATGCTTGACCAGGTTAAGACAACAACCTGTTCCGGGAACTGGCACATAGCAGGAAGAGGTGGAGGGTGTGGATTCATATCAGAATGAACATCAACGATGACCAGATAGTCTCTAAGGCAGGTTTGTGGACAACAACCTCCCTCTGGCCTGGATCCAGCTTGCAGGACAGGCAGTGGTCACGCCATGGAGCAGCACTCTCTCCTGCACAGTTTGAAAGCTGGACTGTGAAATGCTGTATGTCTTGCAAATGCTGCATATCTTGCAAGCACTGCAGGGCCATTGAAGAGGTGGGTTGTGATCAGATCCGTGTGTAGAATTATTGAGCAAATTGGAGGCCACATGGGGGGATGGGCAGGGACTGAGACAGGGAGGAGGCTGGGAGGCTGCCGCATTTGTCTATGGGAGAGATAGTGTTTGAGCATTAACAGTGAAAATGGTGGAGAATCGGGTTCCAGAGTCATTTTATAGGCAGAACTAATAGGATTTAATGAGGAATGCAATATGGGGGCAAGGAGTAGGGAGGGGAAAAAAGCAGTGTGGTGAACATTTGACTGGGTTTGCTTCCTGTCTGTGCTCACCACCTGCGCCGCAACACTGAATTAGCATTCCAGCCTATGAACTTAATTCACCTGTACGGATTAACGATACCGGCCTCCTAAGGTTTGTTGTGGTATTAAATGAGGTTTGATCTAACACACCAAGCAGGAGTAAGTGACTGGCATTCGCTAGGCACTCAATAAATGCTGGTGCCCTAATTTCCCTAAAGAGATAGCGAGGAAGTCTGGGCTTTTTTGTTCAGGAAGCTATAGATGTGTAACTGGCGTCACTTCCCAAAATATGCGTCGTTCCCTCCATCAGCAAGGTCTGCTGACTTTGATCTGAATCCAGAATCCACATTTACTAGTTGGGGGACTTGAAAAGCTCCTTAGCCCATAAAGCTGTGCTTTTTAAGTTTCCTTGACCAGTGTCTGTTTGGGTGACACAGACCCCAAGGTCCACATGTCCTATCCATTCCCACTTCACAGTGAAAAAGGAAGCAGGTGACAATAAAGAACAGGAAAGGAACATAAACAAACAACTTATAGGAAAAAATGTACAAATTTATAATAGCAATTTCCTTATAGTTAACCTGTAATAATAGCATTAATATGTTGCAAGTTGTGTACATAGCACACATCCATAGGCAGAACGTCACCTGCAAAGTGGCACTGTACCCACACATTTGGAGGGAACTGTGCACACAATTGTCTGGCAAATGAGGTAGGACTTTACGTTTGAACTATTAGTTTGAAACATATGGAACTGTCATTTTTGTAGGTCAAAAACGGTTGACTCGAGTCAGCTTCACACAGTTTAACCCAAGGTAAAAATGGTTGAATATAGGCAATTTCATTTGGTCCAGCCTAATATGATATTTCAATGTGGTTCTTGAAAAAATAACAGGTGAAAATATGTCAGTGTATCCGACCGCTCTCTACAGGGTTGGGTGGAGAGCTCACGACAAACAATATCAACAGTGGTAAAGCTGAAGTAACAGTAAGCTGTCATTTAAGAGCAAGGAAACAGCAATAGGTCTGATTGTCAGTTCGAGACGAAGGCAGTGAGGCCTGCCAAAGGAGGGCTGTGAAAGTCGTGGGCCCTCCAGCTCTGCACACGCCTAGGGACAGTGCAACCGACACAGCATCGCCACGCTGGCGAAACCCAGGATTCACGTGTGCGATACACACCTCTCAGTCAAATGTCAGACTCACGTTTGCGACAAACGCCAGCAATGAGCTCATTTAGTTTACGAAAACTAAATGGTAGTTAACCTTAATTATGCAATTATGGGACTGTTAGTAGGCAGCCCTTAACTGTACGGGAAAATGAGTCTAAAGAATTTGGCTTGACTTCTCCATCAGAATCTTGCACAGGCCCTGCATTTGGGGATCAGTTCACAGGCCACCCACAGGGCCCCGACTGCCCGCTATTGACTGGGTGGTGGACTGGCAGACATTAGGGAACCCACTTTAAGACTCACTCTCCTCATTTGTAAAATGGAGATGGTGATACTATGCATGGCATCAAGTTGTGAGACTCAGATGAAACCATGCTGGTCAAACACTCCGCCCTGTGACTGGTAAATAGAAAACGATCAACAATTGTTGGTTATTTGTATGATTATCTTCATTCTGACCACAAAAGGACTGTGCAGAAGCCCCGCCCATCCGGGATGAGGATTTGCTCTTATGAATGACAGGCTGGGCTCAGGGGGCTCTGCAGGGCTCAAGGCTGCCATGAGGCATCAGACCCATGCCCTCAGCTCTGCTGCGGCTCTGCGCCCGCTGAGTGCCCAGGTGGGGTTGGAAGGGTTCCAGAGGGCAGGAGGCAGGCCTAGGTACCTGCTGCTGGAGGGGGTGGGCCACTCTGGGAGTGAGAAGAAGCTCGATGAGGACAGAGGAGGCAGGAAGGAAGGGGAGCCTCCCCCACGTGCGGACCCCCACCAACCAGGCTTACCGTCCCCTCTGAAAGCTCAGGGCTTTGTCAGGGAACAGCCTGCAGACTTACTTTTAAAAAATCTTTTTTTAAGCTTTCAATTACAGTTGACATTCAATATTATTTTACATTCGTTTCAGGTGTACAGCACAGTGGTTAGACATTTATATAATTTATAAAGTGTTCCCTGGCTAATTCTCATACCACCTGGCACCATACATAGTTATTACTATATTATTGGCTATTTTCCCTATGCTGTGCTTGATGTCCCTGTTGCTATTTCGTGACTAGCTAGCCATTTGTACTTCTTAATCCAGTCGCCTTTTCAGCAGCCCCCACCCCGCTCTGCTCTGGCAACCACCAGTCTGTACTCCATGTCTGTGCTCGCACGCGCGCTTTCCCAGGCAGGGAGGGTCACAGAGTGGGGCGACGTTTCACTGCTGTGTGCCGCAGACACGGCAAACCAATTTTCCTGCCCGTCACTTTCGGGAGGGCTTTCTAGCTTCCGTCTTGTCTTCTCTCTCCCACTTGCCTCACCTTGCAAGGAAAACAAAGGCAGGAGAAGACTCAGCGGCCCTAATTTAAAAAGAGAGATGGAAGGTCTACCTGATATTCAAGACAAAAATCTGTCTTGCTGCTGGGTTATCTCTTGGGTCAAGCAGGAAAAGCTAAAAAGAAAGTGGCCAAAAGAGGCGACGAAAAGTTCTTAGTGTGAGAAGCTCTGTGAGCTAGCGAGTGAAGGGTTGGAACCAGGATGAGAAGCAGGCGAGAGGAGCAGTGGAGGCAGCTTGTTCCCCCCACTCGGCGTTTATTAAACGGGTTTGGTTCAGTCCTTCCCTGCGTCTGCCGCTGAGCTGGTGAGTGTCTGAGACTGCTTGGGCTGCAAAACATACCCCAGACTGGGAACTTCAACAAAAGACGTGTAGCTCCTGACAGTTCTGGAAGCTGAACGTCTGTGATCAGGATTCTTATATTCAGTGGAAGTGTTATTTCAAGGATAAAAGTGAAATAAGGCCATTTCAGACAAAGGAAAACAAAGAGAATTCATCACGCAAGACATGCTTCAGAAGAAATGATAGAGGAAGTTCTTGAATTTAAAGGGCAACCGGAACAGGAAGAATTGAATTTTCAGGGATGATATATAGTAAATACCTGAGTAAATACATAAAGCTATTTTTTCCTCTTAAATGCTCTAAAATACATATATGTGTTTAAAGCAAAAGTTATAACATTTTTGTCTGGAGAGGTTTCAGTGTATGCAGATGTATGTATGCAGTGTATGTAACGACTATAACAGAGAACAGTGGAAGGGGGCATGAGGGGTCTATGATGGTTGCAAGTTTTCTGTACTTTACATGAAGTGGTAAAAGAGAATGTGAAAGGTCAGGTATCTGTATTATAATCCCTAGACAACCACTAACAAAATAATAAAAAGAATATAGCCAAAATACCAATAGATATGCTAAAATGCAATACTAAAACATATTCAAATAATCAA